GGCGGAGGAAGTCGATGGCTGTTTTGATACCGTTGGATTGGGAGATGACCTTTTTGGCGACGGCGAGCCAGAGCTTTTTGCGTAGCGGAGGATTGGAGTGGGCGCGCTCGGCGACGATGATGGCTAGGTCTATTTCGTCGTGGGCTAAGGCTAGTTGGACGGCTTGGAGGTACTGCCCCATCGAGGTGTAGATGTGCGCACATGAGAGCACGCGGTGGTGTTGAATGCAGAGGCGGAGGGCGAAGTCTGGGTCAAAGCGGGGCTCATCGCCTTGGGATTCGAGGTAGGAGAGCAGGGCCGATTCGTCCTTGGATGTCGACGGGTGGGCGGCGTATATGGAGACGAGGGTGTTATGGACGGCGGAGTCGGAGGACTGGAGCTGGTTAACAACATAAAGGAGGTAGCGGATCGCTTGGTTTTGAGAGAGAGGGCCCTTGTAGTTGCGGTCGTATTCGAGGAGAGCCGGGATCAGGTTGCGCGGCTCGAGGTTGGCTTGTCGCATGAGGATGTCGACGAGTTCGGCGGCGACGTGTGTCATCAGCACGGTGCTGTAGCTGTAGAAGACCTCCGGGTCGGTCTGGCGTTGGAGAACCCGGAGGGCTTCGGACCACCGCTCTCGCTGGACCCAGTATGAGAGGACGAAGTGGTAGTCGTTGATGGCGTCGGCGTAGTAAAGAAGCTCCTCTTCGCGGCCATGGCTGCCAATGATTGCGTATACAGTTTTCCGGTCAAGATCCGATTTGTGTCTGTTGACAAATTCCTGATACTCTGCTCGCACAGCGTCTAGCTGCTCTTTTGTTTGTGTCGGGTTGAGTGTCTCGGAAAGCTCAGCCCTGGTGATGATGGTATCATCGAGTGAGTTGAGCTTGGCCATAAAGATTTCTATCAGCCAGCTTGCTATCATTTGCCTTTGCATGATATAGGTCTTCTTGAAGGTCGAGAGTTTCCCCAAGAGATATTTGCGAAGCGCATCAGGCTGGTTGTGGTCAATAAAAGCGAGCGCGACTTCCTCAAACGGCTTGCTACTCTTGCCATAAACCCCAGCAGCCTCGTTAAACTGTCCCTTGCTGATAAGATAATCGCCCGATGCCATGGCGACCGCATCTTTTTGTCCTGGAGTATGAGCATGTTTGAGGGCCGCGTCGAACTTCTTCAACTTTAGCATGATCTTCCAGATGTCCCTGTCTTCGTCTCTTGGGACGATCTCAAAGATCTCTTGCGATGTGAAAAGCCAGTATGTGTTTTTTTGAACATCGACACATAGACCAATAGCCTTTTGTCCTTGGTTGAGGATCACTTGGTCATAAACTATTTCCCCCGTTAACCGGTTGGCGGCCACCACTCGGTCGCCTATTAAGCTGATGATATGCCAGTGCGTAAGCGCAATGGCGTTAATGTAGTCGTTAGAAGCCGTCATTCTCCGTCCCCCAGCCCGTTCTGGCGCCGTCAGCAGCGCCCTGGGCAGGAGCTGAGCCTCATTGAAGACCTTGTTGCCCAACTCCGAGGTGAAAGGGCTAAGCAGGAGTTGTCCATGGTAGATTCCATGTGACGATAACCAGGCAAAGACCCTCTCGTTTACATCACCATCATGGGGTCGGCTGGTGTCCTGAAGAGTATCCGGGGAGATGACCAGATCTGATGCCGCTGCCGTAGCTGCCGTCGACCGCGGAAGCTCATGAACAACGGGCTGCTCGGCTTCGAACAGCTTTGAGTAGATTGAACCACTTCCGTCATTCTTGCCAACTTTGCCCACTAGGTGGAACAGCCTGCTCTGGGTGCTGATCACGATGCGTCTGGTGTCGGTCCCGGCGCCGGGCAAGGTATCCACCCAAAGACCGGTAACAGGACCATCCGGCAGCTTGTGCAGGACCTTCAGGTATTTCTCCTCTTTGCGATAGAACTCGGTCGAGTGCTCGATGTAGCCTTCGTATACGTTGCCGTCGGCTGCGCCGATGAGTATCTCGCGCGTCGAGGCGGTAGGCAGTGAGGGATTCCAGGCAATGCTCTCGATGGAGACTCCTCGTAGCCGGCCTAGCGGGCGGGGATGGCGCGACTGCGAGTGCAGGTAGTAATTCTCGCCTTGAGATGTGCAGATGATGAGATGGGAGGCGGTCGGGTCGAGGAACATGCGCCGGATCACACCAACTTCGGTCGGCTTCTTGGGAAGGTCAATATCTGTACATGACTTGTGTATTAGCACGACATGTCGGTTCCCCGTTAGCTTCACAGTTCCTGCCTACCGTCGATGTCTTCGGGCTTGTTCAGATCGATGCGCAGAATGCGCCCGTTGGAGAGGGCCAGTATCAAGACATTGTTGGCTGTCTGGGCCGAGACGAAGTCGGCTGCTATGGAGAATTGAAGCTGGACCTGCTCGACATCGAAGATGGGTAGTAGTTCGTCTGCGAGACCGGGAACATCGCTCGAGGCCACGAAGCCGTTGGATGGGTCGAAGGCCATGATGTTATGATGGTTCGAGCGTGTAGTTGTTGGGTTGCCGGCGCCGTTGTTCCTTATCGCCCGATCAGTAGGCTTTCATGGCTCGATTTCCTATGCGCCGAGTGCTTGTAGCGGCCGCGCAGTTCACTTGTTGCGCATACAGCTTCGGTTTTGGATGGGGGATAGCGGATGACGTTTGGATTTGCCGGGAGCGGTACGGAAGTATCTACATGCACTGGAACGTGAAGTTGGAATAAAGTAGAGACGGGATGACAGAGTCTGCTCCGGCAACCTTGTTGTTGGTAGGTACCTTATGAGCTACCATAGCGTGATGGAGGTCACCACCCGCCCACCCTGTCACAATAGCTTGAGCGGCAGGCAGGACCCTAACCCTCAATATTACCAGCACCTTGCCTCCATTCAGAAAACCCATCCCGGTGTCAGAACCATTGCATCTGCATGCTGCGTCCTGCCCGTGAAAGGTCGCATCAAAATGCTCAACATGCACAAGTACTTATAAGGCAGAGGCAAGTCGATATGGTGTCCGCCAGAATGGCCCTCCCAAGCGGAAGATCATACTGGACTCAGGAATACCTAGAGGTATCCATGCATACATAGATCTCACGATACTGACCCCAATTTTCGTCTCCCACGAACTTCAAAGTAGCGATGTGTTTGCGCTTGCCGGCAATGTGCTTGATCGTGCATTGAGCGACTCGGTCCCGTCGGGTACGGAGGTTCGGGGACCTCGACCGGAGAGGAGAGATGACGGGCGCCAAGCCCCGGCCCCCCGGGTGGCTCCCTACCGCTAAACTCCTCCGGGCCTGTCCAAGACGAACAGCGCACGGACTTGATGCCGACGGTACCCGATGTTGACATCCGGGCTGTAGACCCCGATGACGGAACGATAAAAAGGCGGCACACTCCGAGTGGCAGAGCAAGGGAGTTTCATATCGAAATGTTAAGTTGATGCTGGTGGAAGCTTGCTGTCGAGCTGTGCCGCCTCGGCGCATCGGCCATCGGGAGTCCTCCCGGCGGTGTTCCCTGTCCGTTCCCGTCAGTCTCATGGGCCTTGGTCTTTACACCCGAGGCCTCTTAACGTTTCCGTCACTTGTTCCTCCTCTCTATGCCACTTGCGCGAGGGGGAACGATGGATGCATCCTGTCCTCACTGGGCGCAGCCATCCTCCATCCATCGTTTCCTCAACAAGCCAAATGTTGAACCTTGATGGCGGTGTCTTTTTTTGCGGGGATGTTTTCGTTCATGGACCTCTCCGAGCGAGTTCCCAGTCCCTGTCCCTCGGCACTGCACAGCACAGCACGCAATCCCTACACTCCACGGTTTCCACCGCCCCGAAACACGCCATAATCCGCCGCATAAATAAATAAAAAAAATTAACACGGCAATCCACCAACGGATGGCAATCCCAACCTACAGTCGGGTGTCACACAGGTCCGCTGAGGCGGAACTGGAGTCAGTCAGATGTTGATGGGGTCCTTCTTTTCTTCCGTCTGAACTTCCGCATTTATGGATTCCATCTGGAGATTGGAGGAAATAAAGAACGAAGGAACCAGTGGAGCCTCTTGATGGTGTCTCAACCAATCAGAAGTCATCATCATCATCGTGATCAGATGCAAACTGAAAGTGACATGGTGGCAGGAGCGATGGACGATACGAGGAAGCATCGTGTACTAATATTACAAATGGCCTGGTTGTGCCGTCGTGGTGGAGAATGAGCCAAATCCTTAGCGACCGGGATTTGGGAAATGAGGGTCGTGGATGGGACAGGGATTTACGAAAGGCAACGCCGCAGTGCTGGAAGGAATGAATGGAATGGAAGGCGATCCTCACTCAGCATTGTGTTCAGGGTCCTAGACAGCCCCGTACCTGGATTACATGTCATTGTTGTTCATGTCCAAAGCAAGATTCCAAAAGGCTCGGAATGAAAAAAAGGGTTTTGTTTAAAAGTGATTGCAGTTTAAGTCATCGTCATAATATTTGATGATCAATAGCAATTAGAATTTACTAAATACAAGATAGGATGAGTATTCTAATCCACGTTATCCTTCGCACGCTGGGCTGTCATATGCTAGTAGTGTAGAAAGAATATTCCGCTCTCATTCCCCCCCCACAAAAAAAAACATATACAAACAAGAGACTTCATGAGCCCGGTGGTAGAGGTATATATGGTGTAACGAGATCAGCTTTATATTCGGCGTAGTGTAAACCAAAACAGACATAAAGATAATGCTCGCTATGGTATATAGGTATATATATATATAAAATGGTGCTTTTCTCTCTCTCGTCCCGGAATGACCAGCGCGCCCGTCTTCATAAAAGGATATACATGAAAAGACTTGATCGATGTCATGAGAATATTGATATGCTGCGTGCGGTTGCGCCCCATAAAAATGGTAACAGCCATCCAGGCCTTCTTCTGCTGCTCCTTAAAACCCAAGGATATCAAAGATACAAAAGAAACTGCTGATTCTGTGTCGTCCGAAGGTCGATTCCGAACCACACATTGTTGAACTCCTCGAGTTCCCCGTCACCTAAAAGTGAATTTAAGCGAGGAAGACGGTGAGGAGACCGGCAGCAGCGGCGAGGAGGGCAGAGCCAGCCATGGCACCGGCACCGGCAGTGACGGGAGCGGAGGGCTGGGGAGAGCCGGTGGAGGGCACAGTGCCGTTGCCAGCGGGAGGAGCGGGGAAGCCGGCGGAGGGGCTGGCAGGGGGGTTGACGGGGGGAACGACAACGGAGGCGGTGGCGCAAGGCACCTCGACGGTCTCGTAGATCACAGTGGGGATGACGGTGGTGATCTGGGTGGAGATGGTCTTGATGGAGTGGCCGGGGCACTCAGGAGCAACGGGAGCAGCGGTGCTCAGGGTGGTGGGAGGGAGGACAGTGACAGCGGGCTGGGACTGGACGGGAGCCGCGGTGGTGCTGTTGGAGAAGGCAGCGGTGGAGCTGACACCAACGGCGGGGGCGGAGGTCTCAGTCACAGGGGCAACGGTGGTGCCGACAGGGACGGTCTCGGTGACGATCTGGGTGGAGTGGGCCGGGCAGTCGGGGACCGAGGGAGGGCACTGGGTGATAGTGCGGACCGTGGTGCTGTAGATGGTGGAGGTGGTGACGGGGTAGACCGACGAGGTGACAACGGTGCTGTGGGCAGGGCAGTTGGTCACCGTGGGGGCGCACGAGGTGATGGTGACATAGTCGGTCGAGTAGACGGTGGACTGGGCAGCCTCCTCAGCGAGGGCGGCACCGGCCATGACAAGAGCAGCAGCGGAGAAACGCATTGTGTCGGTTGGGGTTGTTGTAAAAAGGGGTGGGTTCTAGAAGAACGATGTAGTTGGACTTTGAAAAAAGAGTGTTATTAAAGCAGATGCTTGAGCGTTGGTAAAGAGTGGACGACCGAAGTCAAAGTTTGAGTCTGAAGCTAGAAGTTGGCTTGTTGGCTGGGGAAGAAAGAAGAGAAAGGAGATGGATAGGTCGAGGAATCCCAAGTATTAAATATCCAAGATGCTGTCCATCTGCCCAGGCTCTTTCCAGGCCCTTGCCGTCCACTTCGCGGGTTGACCCCAGCACTTCTCAGTTGGACCCCTGGCGCCCACATTTCGCCCACCTTGCAGAGCGGGAAATTAACGTTGCCATGATGGACACTAGTTCCAGGGGTTTGGTGGAGGAGACTCGTCCCCTGCCCTCTTTCCCTCTGCCCTCGACATAGCATCGTCGTAGCATCACGCTCACCTCCACGCCGTGCTAGTACTGGCTCGACTGGCTAGCCCGGGCGTGTAGAAAACATTGGTCCAATGGTGGCCGACCGCTGTGGTTTGCCATCATGCGTGGCGCAAATCGCCGTACCAATTCGGGAAGGCCAGCAACAAGGGTGAAGTCGATTGTTCACCACTTGTTCACCTGTTGAAGAGACGCCTCCGACGCGCTTGTTGGCATCCATGGCCGTAGCAAGCACAACGCTCAATCATGATTTGGCAGCCCTCTCAGCGCTCATGTACGAGTTAGGGGATGACTCTCCTGCCGTTCATGATCCATGATTCCTCTTGACAGTGAATGGCAGAGCGACACGGCTGCTGACGGGTAGAACAACAGTATGGTAGTGTACATGTGTAGAACGGCTCATGGTATCGACGCATCGACGGCATCATCTCTCTTCCTCCGGTTGAATGCATTACGGTGCATTCTGCAAATGGTCTGTGATCAATTTAGCAAGAATACCTGCACATGTGAGAATGTTGGCCAATGTTTGCCTCTTCGCTTTGTCTTTCACCCAGCGCCTCTGGGGAAGTCTTTGGGAAGCCAATCTCGGCTGCTGAAAGGTGTGTGTGGTTCCCTCGGTTCCTCACATCAGCCGCCGTACTATTGTGTTGAGACACACAGAATCATATCCGGTTTGAAGATGGTCCGTAACAGCGTGTGATGGCTGGTGTACGCAGTAGACACTGTCGATAACCTAGACAAGGAAGGGAAGGTGTCGAAAAGAGTGCTAAAGGTTAGGGCGACGTGGGTAGAGATGGCGGTCAATGAGAGAGGGAAATTCATGATGGGGACTCGACAAGCATTGTCCCCGGAGATTGAAGCCCTGTGAAGAGCAATTCCGGCATATCAAGAGGCTAAATCGACCTCCTACTTCCCGCTTGTTTGGTCCCCTGGCCGTGGTGTAGATATGTAGCGTGCTGACTTTCGTGGCCATCGTCATCGCCAACTCCATCTCCGGTAGCCGTTGACCGTGGCCTGCACGTTGGCCTGACCAAAGGTTTGCTTCTGACAGACGACCGACGGAGCCAAGTGGTGGAAGTCAAGATGAAGATGCCGGGGGGGGGGGGGGGGGGGGGGGCGGGGGTTTGATTGAGAGCAGCAAACGTGTGCTACGGAGTGTGCTGCACCAAAGAGGTGTGGAGGTGAGATGGCGCTTTGATGGAGCCAATGGAGTCCAACAATGGTGGGTCTATGTTACCCCACTATATGCAGGTACCGTCCAAATCTAGTAGGCGCGGTTGGATGTCCTTTCCCTGGCGAAACGCAAGCGAGATCACAATTTTACGGGGACGACACTCTGCGAATTGCGAGTTCATTGGTCAACTCTTTCCACATTTTGATTTGCACATCGAGCTCCTGCCCATCTCCGCGTCGTGTTCGAAGCTGTCCACCGCTCAATCTTTTGCCAAATGAGCTTCTCCAGACATGGCCTCACTGGATCTTGTCGGACGATCTCTACACAACACGACCAGATGGCTGTTTGATAGACCTCTTTGCCTGTGGAGAGCGTCCCCCTCATCAGGAAATCGACGGACGGCGAGACCAGCGTGCCTCTGGAGTCGTTCTCGTCATCGAGTGCTGTCTCTCGCATAATCGATCGACGCCATTTCCCCTTTTTTTTCTCGGTCTTATTGTTCACCGCATACCTACCCATACTTTTGTCTTTTTATATTTGGGGGTAATGAAACAACATTTCGTCTCCGGCCGCCATGACTGAAGATCTAGATCCTCGACCTGCGTCTTTCTGGAACGATTTCACGACATGGGGCACTGTCACGATTCAACACCAACAACACACTTCCCAGACATCTACCAACCAGGTCGCGATAAAGACTCAATAGTGCCAAACTTTTAGACGCTTTGGCTTCTGTTGGCGTTGTTGGCTCCCGTCCCGTCACGGTCACCAGTGTCACAGCGCCAATGTCACCCAGCGGCTTCGCTTCCCGACAGGAAAAGCTTAATCAATGGAAGCAAGCCCGTCCAGTCTCCCCAGTGCTCATTTCAACACCATGCCAGCATAGCCAGGTCCGCGCGAGCCTTAATTTCCCCCCCCGCAAAATGCCTTCGAATCGAAATGCTCGAATCTCTCGGCAACGGCACGGCGGAGTCGTGTATCCACTTCGTGATCTCTTCTTGAGTATCCAAATTCATGCTCAACCCTGGACGGCCCGTGAACGACCCATGGTTCCCTGTTCCCTCTATTTGCTTCTGATTGAGAACCTTGGAGCCCCTATATACTCTTTGTCACCGCCGGTTCGATATGTTGAAGACTGTCTAGATGGTTTAGGACACTGTCTTGCACCATCTTGCATTTGTCGTGGTGAGGACTATCGAGACGTCTCAGTCGTTATGCTGCAGACCTTTTGTTTTCGGTGAAACTGCTAACTCGTGCTGAAAGCACCACCATACCAGTCTATAGGAAAGATTCACTCTCTAGCAGAGCCACATGAGTTTTTGGAGCAAAGTTGCCAGTTGACCCTCACACGTCTCCGATATGAACATATTCAAAGGCAGGATATGTGAACATTGACCTACCTCAGAGTGACTTGGGCGTTGAGCTTCGTTAAGGAAGGTCGAGTGTCCTTGCCTTTCCATATCATGACCGAACATCGCAGTATTCCCTTCCTTCATCCTCCCGGCCAATCATCGAGGTCAGGGAGCCGGATCCAAACAATATCCGAACAAGACGACAACTCACACATGCAATCATCTGATGACAGGGCAAGAAGAATCATGCCCTCGGAGACAAGCGTCTTTTGACTAAACAGCGACTTTTATGACAGCATCGTCAGCCATATGGATCGCATATCCAAAGAAAGCTAACATATAGTCCTGGCATGCGGTATGGTCTCGATGGCGTCTCGGGTAGGCATACTTCTTCGTTCAAAGGCTTCGTCAGCAACCATGTAACTAATACCGCCAAGAACAGGAAACCATATCAACCAACTTTCGACATCGACGAAACTACGATCGTTCGACAATATACGAGATAGTTGACAACATCTCACGACGAAAACTCAATTTCACGAAAGAACCAAGTACACTGGTCCGAAACACACGCATTGCAAAGCGTTCCCCGCAAACGACCGACACAGCTCGACTCTGGGCCGGGGCAACCAAGGGGCTTGGCGGATATACCTTGTTGTATTGTGATAAGCATTTATATCGCCCGGTACTTGTCAAGACCTAGGCTTATGATGGCGAGAACCTCCGTCAGAGAAATCAAGACCTTGAATTGTTGGGGAATCTTACACTGGCGATGCAGAACATGCTCCCCTACAGGGAAAGCGTCGTTGAAACTCAAGCATGGCGTTGTTCAACACTTGGACCCTGCAGAGTGTCCGTTGTGGCTTGTATCGTCAACGGTCATCCTTTACGAGAACCCGGGGATGGGTAGGGCTGGGTAACGAGGAACGGCTTGACGATATGGTGTGAAAGAGTGGTGGGCGGCCTACGACCTCATCAGGCTACGCGACGCTATTACGCTTTAGGCCATTCGAGAGCCAGACGACGTCCAACACGTGTGAGAACTCAATAACGAACGCCATCGTCATTGGCCAGTTGCGACATCCAAGGCTCAGATGGTCCGTGCACACTTCAATACCAACCTCCCATGGTATCATTGTCGCCAGCCATTGGCCTACTTGGTTGCCTTGGTGCTGAGCCTCTTTTCTGCGCAACGAATGCGCAGCATCATCCTCAACCCGGCTTATGTCTTGTACTATGTCTGCTCCTCGAGATGGCGACCTCCCCGCGCTCGCAATCATGGATAGAATCGTACTTGTACAACCGGGCACTCGCTCAATTCCTCTTCATTACTCACTAACGATCTGGGAAGAGAACATCGATCCTCATTAGCTGCGGCTTGTCCAACTCCGATATCTGAAAAGCCTCCCAAGACTCATCTTCACCATTATCACTTTCACCCTTATTTACTGCCTTACCCCCTTATCAAACTCGATTACAGACTCCCGTAAGGCATCACGACTAGCGTTTCATCTGTCAAACAATACGCCCAAGCTGTCTCCAGCTCTTTCTCGACCCCGCATCAACGTCTGCCCAGCCACTTGGAGGGCGTGGTTGCCTAAGCTGGCCATCGACACGGAAGTTTAAAGAATTCGTCCGACGAGAGTTGTGACCATTTTGAGCATATCAAGGTCCAACCGTCCCCCCGCAGAGTCTACTCGAGGTTTGCTTGTGAGACATTTCTCCTCCTTTCTCAGTTCGACTATGAGGACTAATACACCTCAAGAGTATCCCGTGTGGTTATTATCTTGCGTGTGAGACGGACAAAATTCCCCGAGACATCCCGATTATATCTTCCTCACATGGCTTCATCTTCCGCAAAGCCTGAGGCACGCAGTCTTGCCGCTGCCCCGTACAACTGCCCGGACTGTACCAAAGTCTTCGCCAGACCTTGTGATCTGAACAAACACAGCAAATCTCACACTCGACCATTCAAGTGCCAACATTCCGATTGCAAGTACTCTTACCTTGGCTGGCCAACATTGAAGGAACTCGAACGCCACAACAATGATAAGCACTCTCCTAACCCGATCATCTACGCCTGCGAATACGAAAATTGTGAATACGAGTCCAAACGCGAATCGAACTGCAAACAACACATGGAGAAGGCCCATGGATGGATGTACACCAGGAGCAAATCCAATGGCAAACAACCCGCGGATAGCTCTCCGATGGCCCCCGTTTACCGGCTAAAGCCTGGGCCCCACATTGCCTCAGCATGTTCTACTCCAGCCATCAAGTCGTCGTCTGAGTTGCTGCCTGTCCCCAACCATCATCAGGATTTTACCCTATTTCAGGATGACACCGACCAGTCCGTCGTATTCGATGAAGAGGATGAGGATCCAAGTCACCATCATGATGCTCCTCAACTTTTCCCTTGGACATCGCCTGCTACCCGGCTACGGAGGAACGGAACCATGATTGAACGATTTGACCAGACATATCACGGCAACCAACCTCTCAGGATCAGTGATATTCCGGTTGACCCATCGCTCTCCAATCTTGTGCCACAAGTCTTAGCATCTGCGGCAGTCCCATCTAACTCAATAACATGTGTGAATAACGGCACCAATACCCCAGAGACCTCCAGGCAGACTCAATCATCGAGACAACAATCAAGCAGGGCCCCACGTCGCCAACGGAGGAGAAACAGCGATGCTGCCGCATCAAGGAAGAGATTCAAGCTAGACCCTTCAGAAGGGCTCGGCGACGACGAGGGATTCACCGACAGCACTATGCCGTGTATCTTCCGGCACTCCCACCCCCACCTCTACAATAAGGAGACCAGGGACAAGTCTGATCCATGCCATACACCACATCGAGACATCTCAACTCTAGCACGACATCTGCTCCGACCGGCCCATCGCCTCAGCGTGGACCCACGGATGATATCGTCGTTTGAGATTCAGGACAGCAACTATCTGCACCCACGGGTTGGCCTTTGCCGCCGTTGCTGGCAGCCTTTCTTTGACCCCTTGGCATTTCAGAATCATGTGGATCTCGAATGCGAGAAGGTGTCTAAAGGAAAGCGGGAGAAGTGGCGTATAATGCGTGACCTTTTCACGCCATTGGTCCAACAGCATAACGAGCAGAGCAGGCTTTCACCAAACTTTGACATGGAAGGGCAAGAAAACGCGGTATACCGAACAAAAGGTTCGATTCGCACAATATACAATGCTGGAGACAATGCTCACCAAGGTTTGGTCTCTGGTACCGTTGCTCCGACCAATCATGGGACATTGGCCCCCTCCAGAACCAGTCTCGAGAGTGAAATCCAGAAACTCAGAGAAGAAAACCGTCAGCTCAAGGAATCATTAGTGACCCGTGAATCTAGACAAGAGTCACTAGCGAGTACTGTCCACAGCAGTGCCATCCATCATGCCTCCGAGATGGCATCTGGTCTTGGATTAGTCTCTGCGCCTCGGATACCCACTTCCAAGGATTCGAACTCGGATCAGGAGAGCCTAGTAGGATACATGGATTCTCAATCCACGGATGTTGACCGCGATGGCTTGATGAGCGAGACGCCGGAAACGTTCATGAGGCAGAGGCCAGGGCTCAACTTGCCCTCCCACTCAAGCGTTCACCACGTTCCAACAAGCCCGTCATCTGTACTGAACGACTCATTCCAAGATGTCCCGAACTTCAGTCAACCATCAACAAGCGTGTTGCTCTTCTCCGCTCGAAAGAATCCCACTTCACTCGCCGATTCCGCCTACGGTACCTGCACCGACCCTAGGCGAGGAAGCCTGGGCGAGCCTGGTCAGGCAGCAGTGATGGCAGATATCTCAGGTGGTCCGCACAAGAACTGGTTCAATAACTTGAGCCAACAACGACAAGATGGGGGGGTCTTTTACTCTGTTCGGCGACTACCAATTTGGCAACAACGGCGACTCATCAGGGAACAATAGCGACATCTACAACAAGACAATATTCTCATCCACTCCAAGGGTAGGGCCAAACCAAAGCGTTGCGACAATCCAGCAGCGCCAGGCAGCTCAACAGCAGCCTCAGCAGGACTTTTCAGGGTGGTCCAACCCCAATCCTTTCGCAACGGCGTCCACATCTCAGCCGTCTCATGGCCTTTTTGAAGACGCGTCGTTTGATTTCTTCATGCCGGCGCAGACGGATTGTGGTGAAGAGACTGGTGGATACAATCCAACGAGCTCTTCGCAGGATTTCGTTTTTCCTACCATGTGATATTATGAAGAAGTGGATGGTGTGGACGGGATGTCTGATCCATCTTCGTTATGGACTTTGACGTCTAGAGAGGATGATTTCATTTTCATGACGCATGCCACGAACAAGGTCGAACGATGGGACCAGCTCTTTTTCTGTCGCTTACGTTTTGAGTTCACCTTGAATTCAAGAGATGGATAACCGGTGTCAAATTCTTCTCATATGATGAAATTACTCTTCTTTTTTCTTACTCTTCCCGGTGTGTGCTCTTTCCCGGTTATGTTTGCCGCGCGTCAAAGGGGGTTCTTTGCTTTGGTCTCTGTGTAAAGAGGAATCACATTCCTCTCCTTAGGGAACTTTCAACCCATTTCTTCCCTCCCTGAAAAGTTTCTACTCGATTTCTTTCCTCAGCATTCACGCCACCCACTCATTTATAATTAAGCATTAGATGAGTACCAGATATATTTTGATATTTGAACATCCCTCAAGGATTCATACCATGATATCGCTTGGAGTAAGACCAAAGGCCCTTTTGAATACATACGGACGGATATCTTGGGTGCTGATAGAGGTTTTATGAAGCAAGCAGGACGATGTAGCGTTGTGTTTTTCCAGCAAGCGACTGAATAGAAAATCCGCAGTTATGGCTTGGAAATAACCGTTGATCACAACCTCAACATCACGGCGAGTAGGTTCATTCACATATACAGACAAAGGGGCAAGTATTATCGGATAAATAATGGTCCAATTACTAAAACATTCCGAAAAGTCCAGTTTATGACTTAGTAGCCGAAGCCTATTATTGCATGGCAGCGCATATTGCACAGGGACAACCAACAGACAGTGAGGCGAAGAGAATACCAGCTTCTCATCTTAACCTCTCTTCACCTCTCTCTTCACCTCTATCTTCACCTCTCTCTTCACCTCTCTCTTCACCTCTCTTATATCTCTTTAAGTTCCTACATCGTACGTCGAAGAGTCTCACGTACACGATCAATAATACTTCTTTGACATGTTAACAACCATTGTCGACATCCCAAAGGTCACTAAACGTCACTTATTATCGAGAAAACCTTCCATGTTTTTACTTGATCCTTTTTATATACCAGAAACCCACTTCTTTTCCTTATACATCCGAGCGTTCAAAAGCAAGCCATTTTCACTCGCTCCATCTCTTTTTAGATAGAAAGCTGAGCAGTCTCGGCCTTGGAAAGCGTCTCCTGGTACTTGCTCAGCCTCTCAGCAACCTCGCCATTGCAGTAATCCTCCACAATCCTGGGCGAGTTGCCAATGAACAGGGCAGGGTCAACAAGACCATCGATCTCGCCCCAGACAGGCTTGAAGAACTCGGCCTTCTTGATGCGCTCGAGCAGGTCGTTCTTGCCACCCTCCTGCTTGACGACGGCGCTAGCCTGGTGGGACAGGACGCGGATCTCCTCGTGGGCGTCCTGGCGGGAGACGCCGTGCTGGGCGAGCTTCATGAGGATGGACTCGGTAGCCATGAAGGGCAGCTCCTGGTCGATGCGGGCGCGGACGACCTGGGGGTAGACGACGAGGCCGTTAGTGACGTTATCGAGGGCGAGCAGGATGGAGTCGGCCAGCAGGAACATCTCGGGGATGTCCATGCGGCGGATGGCGCTGTCGTCGAGCGTGCGCTCGAACCACTGCGCCTTGAAGGTGTTGCTGAAGTTAACAGGCAGGTTGGCCAGCTTGCGGGAGAGGGCGGCGATGCGCTCTGAGCGCATGGGGTTACGCTTGTAGGCCATGGCCGAGCTGCCGATCTGCGACTTCTCGAACGGCTCCTCCATCTCCTTGAGGTTGGCCAGGTGGCGGATGTCGGCGGCGATGCGCTCGGCGGTGGCGCCGAGAGCGCACACGGCGTTGGCGACGCGGAGGTCGACCTTGCGGGTGTAGGTCTGGGTGGAGATGGGGTAGGCGGAGGGGAAGCCGGCCTTCTTGCAGAGGACCTTGTTGAGCTCGACGATCTTGTCGGCGTTACCGTCGAACAGCTCGAGGAAGGTGGCCTGCGAGCCGGTGGTGCCCTGAGCGCCGCGGAACTGAAGACGCTCGCGGGACGGTCTCGATGTCCTCGAGGTCCATGACGAGCTCCTGGATCCATTGGCAGGCGCGCTTGCCGATGGTGATGAGCTGAGCGGGCTGGTAGTGGGTGAAGCCAAGGGTGGGGGTGTCCTTGTACTTGAGGGCGAACTCCTTGAGGTTCTGGATGACCTTGGCCAGCTTGGGGAGGATGAGATCAAGAGCCTTCTGGATAAAGATCAAGTCGGCGTTATCGGTGACTGTTACAGTAAGTCAGTATGGTTCGTTCCCAGAAAAGAACCAGTAATATGCATACCGTAGCAGCTGGTGGCCTGCGTGATGGGAGATCATGGTTAGCTCACAGGCCTTCAGCGATTCAGGAAATAATCTTCTTCACTTACACCCAAGTGAATGTGGCCGGCAGCAGCGGGAGCATCCTCGCCATAGGCGTGGACGTGAGCCATGACATCGTGCTGTGATGGTTGATTAGCAAAGATCTTTGTCACATGCACGAAGGGTAACCTACACGGAACTTGTTCTCGTACTCGCGGGCGACATCGAAGGCCTTGTCGGTAACGGTAACGTGCTCACGCATCTGCTGGATGGCCTCCTCGGGGATGTTGAGACCCAACTCCTGCTCGGCCTCGGCCAGCCAGACCCAGAGTTGACGCCAGGTGGAGGCACGGGTGCGGGCCGAGAAGATGGACATCATCTCCTGGGAAGCATACCTCGTGGCGAGGGGGGTCTTTGAGTGACATGGTCAGTTAGCTTGGTGTCATATGGGCTGATTGAAGATGGCATAGGCTTGGGTGAGAAGCATGTTCAGGATCTCATGGGTAAGGGTTGAGTTATGCTTGGTAGTCAGGGCCGAGGAGGGGCAACGCTGAAGGTGAGGGTATCGCGGGGTCGAAATCAACGCATGAAGAAAGTCTTCAGGGATTTTACCTGGTACTTGTCGTAGCTGGACATTTTGGCCTATTTCTAGTGTAAGCGCTGGTCCTACTTTCGTAATTTTGCATGGAGTTGCTTACTGAGGTTTCTTCTTCTCGAGATATACTGAGATGAGGATGATGGAGGGGTAGTTCAATGTTTTGAAGTGGGATGAGTCGATGATCTGATGTCACTTATAAAAATTTCATTCACCAATCACTGCAGCTCAGTCGCGGGACCCTTTGGCTAGGCGACCTGCAGCTTGCCCAAGACAGCCCCATAGCGTCCCTGCAGCAGAGGAGTCATCGTAGGTCGCCCGTAGCCGCTCCCTTTTCCCCCCGGATCACAGGCCATTCACCCCGCAAAATCCCGCTCTGTAGCCGAGCATCGGCCCCGGATAACGTCCGTTCTCGTTTCCTTCCCTCCGTCCCGGCCACGGAATCTCGACGCGGCAACCGCAAAGACACGGAACGAAAGCCAAACCATCTTAGCTCCGAACAGCATCATCGCCGGAATATAGTCGCGAACCATCTCTTTCCAACTCCCCTATACCCCGAGTTATTGTAGGAAGCACCCGCCCTTCGAGCCCCCCCTGGCACCCAACCATCACCTACTGTCCCTTCTTTTGGAGTTGTCAAGGTGCCCTTCGAACCGCTCTTCCGAGACTATTTGTCAATCGCACACCCACACGGCCCTCACAATCCTAAGTCGATGCATTCCTCCATGTTTCCGTCCCCATCACGTTAAAATACCAACGAGCCTTCCAAGATGACGGCCCTTCCCCCATCGCAAACCCCCTCCTCATACTTAAACCACGGCCACGGTGACCGCGGCGAACTCATGTCGGGCCACTATATCGGCTTGTCGGCTTTTATTCGCGAAACAACTGAATGGAGCAGTTCGACTATACGAGCAAACTGACGTGGAGTCAGGGGCGTTTGCTTCGTTTGCACTAACGGGACAGGCTCAAGACTCGTGGGTTTGACGTTAGGACTCATATATCCACGCCCGGAGACCATCAGTCTGAAGAAGGGAGAGCCTTCACGAGCCGATAAATGCGCATAGGCTTGGAATAGAGCCACATAGAAACTACAGGTCGTTCATCTCAAGGTCAGCCGAGCCGTTACTGGTTAAAGGGGAGTCATCGGTGAAGAAGCAGGCGATGATGGCCATAAAGAAGCCTGTGAGCTATCGTCCCTCGTGACAGAGGGCGTGTCCGGACAGATGTTGTCTTGGAAATACGACAAATCCGCTCACTGTCAAAACCCAGGTATGATCACGAACATGCAGCCGGAGAGACATCCTTGCCGAGAATGTCACGGTTATGGAGGGTTCTTCGAGGGGAGAGAAGAGATGATACAACATACGGGTAGATTTGCGTACCTGATGCATGGCACGTTACCACCACGGAATGGGGTGGTGGTGTTATGCTGTATCGCTTGGACTGTGGAGGTTTCCGCATCGACTGACCACCTCCTCAGCTACTACAACAACAACCATCTATGATCTGACGGAGAACGATTGGGCTATTTCCGGTAAGGCAGCAGTCACACAGGCAGATGCTGGGCCCTGCATGACGACGACACTTGGCTTCCCTGGTTTTCTCGCGGACGGTCCCATGGTCGACGGAGGTTTTCCCATGCAATTAATGTATGCATCATGGATGGTTGCAGAGACGAGGTCGAAGCGCTTAAGGTCGATAAACGAGGAGCAAAACATTACACAGCATCTTAGTCGGTTGTCTAGATGGAAACATGATTCGAATAGGACAACGTCGAATTGGGAGAGATGAATTGGGACCGGAAACAGTTGGAGAGGAGGAATTGGGTTTGAGAAAGGAAGGCACTCGAAAGATGGAAGCTTCGGTTTCCAGTCTGTCATTTAACTTTCTCGGTGGTTAGCTCTTGCCGACACCGATATGTCGTGATCAAAAAGGGCTATCGGGGACAACGGCAAGCGCGGAGAAAACATGCTCGAAGTCGTCACTTCGATATTACCTGTTAGGGCTTCTTTGTTTCACAGCCCTTTTCCGACTCAGTCAACATAGCTTCCGTGTCAAAACGCGGTAAAATTTTGAAGTGAATAGTGTCGAGTTCTTCTCGTCCTGGCTCCAAACTGAGGACCGGGGACCTTGCGAGAACCAAACGTCTCATGAGCTCCAGGACCCAGATTGCGGTTACGTTAAACGAATGCTTCCGTCGCCTTCGTTTACCGTCCCTTCGCTGCGAAGCAACAACAGCAATTCACAAAGCTGACGTTTTCCTCTCCTTGTTGTTGTAATCACGTTTGCTAACCGACCTTTAACAGAACATGGTTGTCGGTTCCTCTCTTCCGCTGCTCCATCAACGGGTCACAGTCCACCCCAATTCAGCCGAAATTCAGATATTGACAACGATTCGATGTTCCAGCGCGAGATCCTCTCCATTCGGCCTGTTTGTGCATTTTGCCGCACCCATCCCCTCTTTTTGGGATTATTACTAGTCTGTCCCTTACAATGAAGACCCCTAGCACTTAAGGACCCCGAGATCTCCCGGCAAGCGACCGGAACATCAGCCGGCCATGAGGCTGATCCCCGCATATTTCATCTTGCAAAAGAACAAACATTCTTACAGCTTTCCAATTTGAGCCAGGGGAACAAACATCCTTTGATTTGAAGGACTGCTTGGCCATCTTCAAGTGAGTGCCTTGGTTCTGCTAGGGGACTATCAGCTCTATACTTCCCCAGTACCCAGAGACACCTCCTAGATTGCCTTGGCCGGCTTTTCGGGATGCTTACACCGTGACGGCATGTCTCATTCCCCGAGTCTACACTCTGCACCTCCTCCTCAACTCCGACGTTGTGGCCACGGCTGTGATATCTGGCCTGGTATCACCATGCTTGCCTACCTCTGTATTTGAACCTTATCCTTCATGGGCCTCTTGATGCCTTCTCTCCTTAATACGCACAAACACGTCAAGTGGCGCACTCACGGAAACAGGGGCTTGTCACACAAATGACATGCTTACCGAAAGGGACAGCAGATCGACAACTCGTTCTTCTAGAATAGCGGATATTCATAACCTCGTCGGCTACCGGCAGGAACTCTCGCGGGATAGGGCTGGGGTCCCAGTCCTCCTCGTTCCGAGGCTGCATTTTGTACGAGTCGAGTTCCAACTACACATCAACTTCCATCACACTGGCCCCATGTTGCGAGCATCTCATACGCCTACTGCAGCTGCAGCGAGAGGAACGAAGCAAGACAATGTCCTGTAACTGCAAGGACACAGTTCACAATGGGAGGGACGATGATATGCACATCGCAACCTTGTGGTTGTGTGGCATGTTAACGCCGCGTCTCCCAGAGAGACGGTATCCGTGGTTTTCATTTATGTTGCGCCCCCCATCCCTCTATGCAATCTAAAAGTTGACCCGATTTGCAACATTACCGCGTGTACTCGTGATATATTTCGTCCTTCCACTCGTTCCAGTAGGGCTGGCCTGGTTGTCCTGTATCCCATACTTTAGAAGACCTGGTTCTTCTTTTGCATAAAATCTCTTACTCCTTCTGCGGCTCGTCTATTCGCTTTTACTTTCTGTTCTTGTCGCGCTGGCACGTAGCCACTCGATCCGCTTACGGATACCATCCTCTGATCGGTCACGACAATGAAGCTTTCTTCCGCTCTCTTAGTCACTTCGCTTGGCTTGACGTTTGCTCATGCCACCAGCGGTGGCCAACATGTGCCAAAGATTCTGGGAGGTAGGAAGCTTTTGTCCGAGCTAAAGACTTTCCGTTCAGGATCTTTGCCTGCAGCTACCCCTTTCAGTGAGCGTGCGCAAACACTCGAGCGAAAATCTGGCCCGCGCAAGCGGGATGCCAACGACCAACAATGCGGACCAGGACGTGGGAGTTGTGGAGCTGGAAAGTGCTGCTCCTTTGAAGGGTTCGACTAGCTCTCCTCTCCTGAAGCTGTCAAGTATGAGTACTAACATCGTTCTGATAGATGGTGTGGAGTGGGCAAGGACTATTGCACAGCTCCTGACTGCCAAATAAACTATGGTCCAGCTTGTGACGGGGTATGAGTGACTACCGCCCAAACAAAGCCGAAATATTCACTAACAACCGGTACAGAACCAAAAGCCTTCAGGGCCTGACACGTCCGGAATTTCAAGGCCAAAAGTGGGCAAGGTTCTCTATGCTGGAGGTGGGATCTACGACTGCGTTACCGACGGAGATATTGCGTTGACATTTGATGATGGACCATACCTCTACACCAACGATCTACTCGACAAGTTGAAGGTTGGAACTCCATCACTCTATCATGGATGACAACGGCTGACATTGGACATAGAGCTATGGGGCCAAGGCCACCTTTTTCATTACGGGCAACAACATCGGTAAAGGAATGATTAACGACCCAGCTACTCCCTATCCGGCGATTATCAGGGTAAATAACTTGTCCCCGAAGACTCTTTGACCAATTGTTCACTGACACTCTTTCCAGAGAATGCATGCAGAAGGCCACCAAATTGCCAGCCATACTTGGTCCCACGAGAACGCCAGTCAGTTGACTAACACTCAAATGACGAATCAGATGGTGTGGAACGAGATTGCTTTTAATTCTATCCTTGGTTTCTTCCCAACGTACATGAGGTAAGTCTAAACCTGTCTTCGACGATACCCTCACTTCTGACTCTCAACTAGGCCCCCTTATTCGATCTGCGAGAAGAACTGCCAAAACGTCTTGTCAACGCTCGGCTACCATACTGTTTACTTCAACCTTGACACTGAGGGCTACCTGCACGACGACGCGAAACAGATCCAGACGAGCAAGAACATCTGGGATAAGGCAATTAAGAATTCCAATCCCAACTCCGACAGCTTCCTCCAGATCGAACACGACATTCACGTACAGACGGTTTATAACCTGACCGACTACATCTTGACTTCACTTTTTTCCAAAGGATATAGGGCGGTGACAGTAGGAGAGTGTCTGGGCGACCCGACGGAAAACTGGTACCGTACTGGACCAGCCGTTCCGTCGCTAAGCTCTACCTCGTCGGTAAGAACTACTACATCAACCACCAGCATCAAACCCTCGAGCACTTCCACCAGCATCCGTACCATCACAAGATCCACAGACCTTACAACTACCACAAGCACAAGCACTAGCATTAAAACACGGTCCACCGGCGTCCTCGTTCCACCAACTACGAGCACTTCCACTACTACTAGCACTAGCATCCGCACGAGATCTACTGCCCTAGTCATTCCAACCACGAGCACAAGCACTACTAGCACTCGTTCTACAACAAGTAAGACCTTTTCCCCTCCGCCCTGCTGGCCTCTCCTGGCCCTTCCCATTATCCATTCCTCGATACAGCGAGCTCTCGCTCGCCAAACCCAACCCTGCTCTCACATCCGAAGGGGTCCCGGTTCAGCAAGTATTACCCTTCTTCACCTTTATCTCACCATCCATCCCACTTTCTATCTGCCGTCCGTCTCGCACGAACCATGACATTGATGATTTTCCTCCCAACCAATCTAGCAAGAAGAACACACCTAGCGTAGTTCTGTTTGAGTTGTTACGAGGAAGACAAGAGCTGAAGCTAACTAACTTCTTAACCTTCTCTTTTTGTTTCGTTACATCAGTAATAAAACCAACAACCACCTCTTCGCCCCCGCCACCAAACGGCGGCGACTTAACTATCAGCATCAACGGCGAGTGTGGCCCGGATTTTGGCCAGACGTGCTTGGGAAGCAGGTTTGGAGAGTGCTGCGGGTCGGGAGGGAGATGTGGCTCGAGCTTGTTGTACTGCTGGGCACAGGTTGGGTGTCAGGTTGGGTATGGGAATTGTCTGACGGGATCTGTTGAGGGGGCTGGAGGGGCTGGAGGGGCTGAAAAGGTTGAAGAGAGGTAGGGGTGTGGTGGATGTAATGAGGATCGTGGTGTTGGATGTTGGATGCTATTCCGGGTGTCATTTAGTGTGTCTGGTGAAAATGTGTGTATTTACTTTTCCTCTGTCGGCTTTTTCTTGATGCTTTCGATAATGCCTTGTACGAATCAGTGATTCAGGTGAATCACCATGCCTGCTCGCTCCTGGTATCAGAAATGAAGAGAAACTTGACCTCTCTTTTGCGAAGGGAAGTGAAGATTCGAAACATCTTATCCGCGGAAAGATGTACAGTATCCCACGGGAGAAACTCCGTCTCGCAAACGGGCGTGTTCCGTAGTAAGACAATCCAGATGTTTCATACATATCAACATTCAAACCAAGTTCAGTCACAAGTATCATCACTTCACGTTTCACCCAAGAGCATTTCAGGAGCCAAAAAAAGTTGTGTAGCGGCATTCGACCCATGCGGGTTCTTGGGGACACCTTCTTTTGCGGTGTCCCAGCCAAAAAGAATCATTTGATTTGATTTTGTTATCCAAAAATTGTGTGTACGCCAGAGGCGTAACATAACGAAGCGTAAAGCACCAAGGTATTGGTATAGTAGATATAGTCGGGCTGGTGTCGCCTGAACAGGATCAGAAAAAAAAAGACAAATATGGACATCGTTGCTCCACTCCTCCTCCTCCACCATGCTGCGCGCGCTCGCTCCAAGGAACGTGAGATACTTTCCTCTTTTATTCAGTGAAAAAGAGAAAAGGGCCCGTTGAGCTCCCCTTGTGTCTGTGTGTGTGTGTGTTCACCCGTCCTGGAGCAACGATGCTTGCTTTGCTTATAGCAACTCCCTCAGAGAGAGGGATGCTCAAGCAGAAGCAGCAGCGGCGGCCTTGGCAGCATCAGCAGCCTCCTCAGCAGCGTTGAGCGCCTCACGCTCCTGCTCGAGCGCAATGCTCTCAAGAAGCTGGTTGGTGACGCCCTTCTTCTCGCCAGAAGCCTGAGCAGCACGGAGCTCAGCAACGGCATCGGCGATGCCAAGCTGCCCGTCGGTCCAGAGGGGAGCAACGGGCTCGGCGTCGGCCTCACCAACGCCGATGAAGCCGCCCTCGGCGGCCCAGTCGCTGGTGCGCTTGATGCCGAGCTCGGTCCAGATGGAGTCGAGGGCGGCGACGAGGTGGTCGCGGAACTGCTTGGTGTGGCCCGGGGTGGGAGTGACGCGCAGACGCTCCTGACCGACAGGGACGGTAGGGTAGTTGATGCTCTGGACGTAGATCTGGTGGTCGGCGAGGAGCTTGTCGGACGCCTTCTTAGCCAGCTCGGCGTTGCCGACGAGGATGGGGATGATGTGGCTGGGGTTGGGGATGACGGGGATGTCACGCTCGTCGAGAGCCTCCTTGACGGCGCGGGTGTGCAGCTGCTGGAGGCGGCGGTCACCGTCGTAGCTCATCTGGTACTCAATGGCGGCGCGGGCACCGGCCATGACGGCGGGAGGAAGGGAGGTGGTAAAGATGAAGCCAGGAGCGAGCGAGCGGATGGTGTCGACCAGCTTGGCGCTGCCGGCAATGTAGCCACCGACGCAGCCGTAGGCCTTGCCGAGGGTGCCGGTGAAGATGTCGATGCGGTCGGTGATGGTTCCCTTGGTCTCGCCGCGCTGGTGGGCCTCCCAGTCAAGGTGCTCAGCGACACCGGCGCCGTGTGGGCCGTACATGCCGACGGCATGCACTTCATCGTTAAAGGTGATGGCACCGTACTTCTCGGCCAAGTCGCAAATCTTCTCAATGGGACCGATGGATCCGCACATGCTGTACACTGACTCGAAGGCAATGATCTTGGGAATGTGCAGCGGCAGGGCAGCCAGCTTCTTCTCGAGATCCTCGACATCGTTGTGCTTGAAAATTACCTTCTTCGCGCCAGAGTGACGGATACCCTGGATCATGGAGGCGTGGTTGAGACTGTCGGAGAGAATCACACAGTCGGGGAGTTTGCTACCAAGGGTAGCCAGTGTCGCGTCGTTGGCGACGTAGCACGAGCTGAAAACAAGCGCAGCATCCTTAGCATGGAGCTTCGCGATGGTGTTCTCGAGTTCGACAGCATGCTTGTTGTGACCCGAGATATTTCTTGTGCCACCGGCACCGGCGCCGTACTCATCGAGGGTGTTGTGCATGGCCTTGAGCACGTGTTGGTTGCGGCCCATGCCGAGGTAGTCGTTGGCGCACCAGACTGTGACCTTCTCCTCCTTGGTGGCCATGTGGGCACGGGGGAACTCCTTGGCCAGACGGTTGATGTTATTGAAGTAGCGGTACGACTTGTCCTTGTGCTTCTTCTCCAGCTCGTTCTCGTAGAACTTCTCATAGTTGAACTTGGTGCCATGGTTGCCCGAAACAGTGCAAGCGGCCGGCGACGGGTTCGCAGCGGTGGCAGTCGAAGGCTTCAAAGGGGGATGGGGAGGAAGGCCGACTGTTCCAAGGGGTAAAAGTCAACATACTGTATCACGGCGCACAAGAACAACTGCGTGACTCACCCTTCTGGCCGGTGAAAACACCCTCAACGGCCTGAGCCTCGCGGGGACGGCCGGTGTGCAGCTTGGCCTTCTGAACGAAAGAAGCAGGAGCAGCGCTGGCGCGGCCTCCCATGCGAGCAGACTGAACAGCCATGGCCTTGCCCATGACGGGGCAGCGGTTGGCGAGGACCTGCAGCTTGGAGATGGCGCCACCGCAAGGAGAAGCGGCGGGGCGCGCGGCGGTGGTCATGGCGCGGAGGCTGGAAGCCGTGGCCTTCTTCATGAAGGGGCACACAGCCTTGGACTGGCGAAGAACGGAGTCCATGATGGGCGTGGTTGTTTTGCGATGGCAACTGGTGGTGGTGGTGGTGTTGTCGTCGATAATCAACTATTTGAGACCAAAAGAAATCCCCTTATTTTTTTGCTGTTTCGCCAAGGCGATCAATGGAGAAGGGAGTGTTGATCTGGAATGGCGGGGGAGCCCTTTGTGTTGCTAAGGATGTGCGTGGAGTGGAAAGGTTGGGAAAAAAAGAGGAGGAAGAGGGGGAGAGAGGAAAGGAAGTCGAAGGAGATGGATGTTCTTCGGGGAAAAAAGCTGAGGCAAAAAGATAGGTGGGCACAGCAGTCAACAACTTTCCATGGCTCGGCGAGCCTTCAGAGGAGCGCACTAACGTCGTGGACACTGGAATTGACCAACCAGTCAGCTCCCAGTCCCAGGGGGGCACTGTAAGCGGGGGTAGTCTGTGAATAGCCCGCCTCGAAGACCACAACCTCGCTCCATGTTCCACGGTCCACGGTCCACGGTCCCTCTGGACGCATGTGGATCATATTCTGGCTCTTCTGGATGGATGGATTGATTTATGAATGGATATCTGGATGGGCCGGATCAGCGAGTCCCGGATCGTTCGAGGTTCAACTCTTTTCCGGCCTCTTTCTCGATCTTTATGACCCCAACCCACAGCCGAGGCTGCCTGTTCTTTTTGTATTTTCTATCCTAACTTCTTACCATAAGTCTTCCGCAATTTTCAATGTATAGATACATTACATACAATATCATGGGCGGGCCGCCGTTGCTACTTCCTTCTCAGAAACTCGGAGTCATCTCGGCAATTAATCGGATGCCACGGACTGGGTTTGGTCTCAAAACTCTCAACGCCGTTCTTCACAAATGGCCTCATCCTGATTGGCTGACACATGAATATCTGCAAGGTTTGTGTCGGCCCCTCTACCTAGCCTAAAAGCGCTCCATCCAAAGTACCCCCGGTACCGGTGGAATCCCGCACGCGGAAGCGGGGTCCGGAATGGCCCCGTAACAACAGCTCCGTACAACGGTACAGTAACATACCGCATGTACCTTGCTCTGCGCGTATACGTACCTGTCAGTTCAGTCATTGCCATCCACCTGTCTTCTTTTACAGCGCACATACAGTATGGGCTGCCATTGAGATGCACGTCTGCATGTAATTGACTCGATGCCTGATATGGTCATCCTTCCGCTTGGCTCCTTTAGAATAGAAGATGGGACTCGTCAGTCGAAAGGGAAGATTGGCAATTCAGGACCTAACGAGTATGAGGAATTGATCTCAAGAGTCACTTTGCTCAACGTGATTGATTACCCGGGGATTAGTTTTGAAACCATGTCTGATTTGAGCACTGACACACCACCGTCTTTATATAGAGCCAGTATTTCATGTATCTCCCGAGGTCTAGGTAGAGTCACTGAGGGTATCATATCCTTCCTAGAAACGCCATGTTGTTCTGTCCCCCTGCCAAATGGATCGCCGTCAAGATGAAGTGAACAAAAACCACAAAAACGCTCGCTCGTTCAGACGCCCCCATGCACATTATATATAATGCTTCTGGTATATATAACCTGTACCATCCTCCTCAGAACCCAACGCCTGTTCAAGTCTGAACCACCCGTGTCTTACAATGCCTTGTGATCCCATGCCATGCCACGGCATGCCACCTCATACACCTGTCTTCCTTTCCGTTCCCCGAGCTTACCAACAAAATGCTGACTCGACCAGGTCGCCTCGACCATCCGTCCCTCTGTCCGCCACCGATGATATCCATAAGGTTTGCTTTTCCGGAACGCCAACGCAATGACTGGAAAGGTAGAACGGGGGGGGGGAAAGCAAGGGTATCTCGAGAGGAAGAGAGAGACAGCAAGATGAGAGGAGGGGGTGTAAAAACTCTAGGAAAATAGGGTAAAGGATACTTTTCAGTCGTCATCAATCACCAGGGCATATCGGCCGTGCCACCTGGTTGAAGACTCCTCCTCTTCTTTTTCTTATTTTCTTTTCTATCCTTTTTGTCCTTCTTTTTCTTCCTTCGTTCGATATCTTCGGTCGACGTTTGGCTGGGACTGGCTTGGGCGCTAGCGCTAGTGCTGCTTCTTGTTGCTGTACGGCCTATGGCTTTAGGTTGGGCAATGGGTCTTGGTCTCGAAGGTAAACGGTCTATAGTTTCAGGTTGCGCAATCGGTGGCCGCGTTTTCGGGGGGTCGGTTTTTATTGTCACGTCGGCGGGCGGTTCCGGGGGGTGCTATCGTGTTATTTGTTGTTAGTTATGTTGCTGGCTTCTTCGTCTTCCACTTGATGCGGGGCGGTGTACTGCTGGTGGTGGAGGTTGTGTTGTGCGTACACTGGCTCTCTGATGCGCCCATATCTCTCGTTTAAACAAGTCATCTGTCAACGCTTGGTATTCGGCAATTTTGGCCTTCATCTGAGCCATGCTCATAGCAACTACCTCGTTGGGAGTGAGGTACCCTGTGAGCAAAGCCTCTCCGAACCTTGAACTTTCAGTAACCGATCTGCACAGGCTTCGCAGTTTGTCCATTCTAGGGAGCGTTCCTGGGGCCATGTCCTGGCGATCACACTCCGAATTGAGCTGCATTACCAGATCTTGTGGGTGGATAGATGTGTCGTATCCCTCATCCCGAAGCTCTCTGTGTACTTCGTCCAGAGCTTCGAGGAGTTTCGGAGTAGTGTCCTCCGGTCTCCTAGGTTTCGGGATGATTTCCGGAGCTTTCAGGGTATCGGGCTTTCTGGGAGGTTCGGCGGCCACCTTGTAGTGAGTATTGATTCCGAGGATTGGACCCAATGCGGCCGCTTGACCGTTAGCTGGGCTCGGAGATGAGACCAATGCTGGACTTGCTGCGACAGTTGGAGCTATTCCTGAGATTGACGTACCCGCTTGGGTGCTTGCAGGGATGTTGTTCGCGGTAGAGGGAGGGATACTTGTTGTCGGGTTACGATTGTCTCTGAGGTGAAGTGGTACTAGAATGCGTATTAGCTGACGTCGTTGATTTGTGTCTTGTTGTGCGTGTTTGAGCAGCGCGGACGGGGACTCACCACCCGCCAATATTGGCGTACCAAGGTGTGGTCGAAGAGCTGGGAGTGAAGTTTCTGGACTGGGGAACATTCGCCGCTTGTACTCCTCGGGATTGTTGATCCGAAGCTCTTCCAGCTCAATCTGCTTGTTCAGCTCTTGGTGTTCCTCGGGTGTGAACTCATACACCTCCTCCCTTTCGAAAGTCTCGGTCGAATGAATTTCCCGGATAACATTGCTGCACTCAGCGGATGCAAGGATGTTGTCCAAGACATCGGGATCAAGGCCCTTCACAGTTGACAGATCCTTTTGCGGCAAGTTCTCAGGGGGTGCGATGAAGTATTCTCTCACCCTGGTTGATGAAGGGATTGGCTTCTTCTTATCCACAACCCGCTCCGCTAACTGCCTTTTTAAAGACAGCCACATTGTGAATGGCGGTCTCGTAGGTACCGCCGACCTTGAGATGATAAACAAACACATCTTTTTTTTGGCCAATCCGATATGCTCTACCGACAGCCTGCTGCTCCTCCGCGGGAGTGAAGCCAAAGTCAAAGAGCACTACGCGATTGGCCCCAGGAATGTTAAGACCGACACCACCAGCCTTGGTCGAAATCAAGTAGACATCGAGTGAGTTATCCGTGTTGAAATCCTTGATGGCAGCCTGGCGTTTACCAACCGGTGTACTTCCATCTAGCCGTTTATGGAGAATCTTCATTCCCGGCCTCTTAAAAAGGTCCTCCAGGAAGTCCAAGGTCGGGATGCTTTGAGAAAAGACGAGTACCTTGTCGCCGATCCTTTTGCATTCCTTGATGATCTGCAAGAGCACAATGACTTTGGTAGAGTGCACAATGTCATCGATGCCCCTAATCGACACCTTAGCGAGAACAGACCTTAACATGTCCCGCGACAAATCCAGTGGTTCATCACTTTCATTGTTATCTGGGTCTTCATCGTTGATTATGCGCTTTTTTCTCTTGGCGGGTGCTTGATTGGTGTTTAAACGTTCCTGCACTTTACTCTTGAATATTTTCGGATGTGCTAAGAGCAGCTTCAGAGCGGCGATAAACTCCCAAACGCAGGCAGTGCGATAAAGATCATTCCCCTTGTTCCGTTCCGCAGTCTCCAAATATTCCTTGTAGGCATCTCGCTGAACTTTGGTCATCTGGATAGTGAGGATGAACTCCCTTTTCTGCGGAAGCTCGTCAACCAGGACTTGGATGTCTCTCCTGTTCACTTTCGGCGCAACAATGGCCTTGAGAATTTGCAGGCGTTCTCTGGACAGCTTCTTTTCAGAGGCGCTGCAGTCGGCATGTAGACCGAGGCTAATGGGCTCGGCGTATTTCTGATTGAACTCTCCCACGTCACTCAGGTAGTTGGGAGCTACCCAGTTGATCATGGAATAGTAATCCATTACGTTCTTGGTCAGAGGTGATCCCGTCGTAGCAATACGGCTCATGGTCTGGAAATTTTGAACTGCAGCGTACAGCTTCGAAGTCTTATTCTTGAACCGATGAGCCTCATCGCAGATCACAATCGACGGAGAACAGTGTAACAATTCAGCCACATTGTCTTCGTTTTTTGAGACAAGAGTCCTGAACATTTCGTAGCCGATAATCAGGAGGCCTCGAGACCGCGTCCATTGCTTCACCGTCAGAATCCGCTCGCGGGTTTTCACCTCCTGAGTTCTCGTGTCTCTTTCGTCCCTGACAATCGTGAAGATTTCGCCCAAGATACCCCCTGGCGCCCACATGTCGACCTCGTCGGCCCAGTTCTCAACCAATCCAGAAGGGCAAAGAATCAAGGCCCGGCCGTTCTGAAGGTCCTTGGGAATCTGGGCAACCATCCGAGGGTCGTCAGATTGGGACGCCTCAGCAATGGCAACCAGCAAAGTAATAACCTGCATCGTTTTGCCTAAACCCATCGTATGGGCAAGCAAGCATCCCTGGCGTGAGTTCGACTCAACCACAATCTGGTCCCACATGAAGCGGACGCCGTCAATTTGATGATCCTTGATCTTCTTTCCGATATCCTGATTTATATATATAAAAGGCAGGTCGTCGGATTCTTTAGTCTCGTTGATGATGAGACGTGACTTGTCACTCGGTAGTGATCCAGTTTCGGCAAGCTTCGCTCGCAATAGTTTACGGCGTTCTTCCATTTGTTTGAGCAACGCCTTGGAGTCGACTCGAAGCTTTTTCGCCTTTTCGTCGTGCTTGGTGCGTCGGCCTTTCTTCGCAAATGCGAGAGGTTGGGAGGTCAGCTCCTCCAAGTCTGAAGCCAAACTCTCGGAATCGCTTGCGATATCCATAGAGATATCTTGGTTTGCCTCCGGGGGTTCAGAGGAGGTCATCTCCATGGGAATGGGTGACTTGGGCTCACCGCGGAAATAGCGAACGCAATTCTGCAGGAAGTTGAAAAACTCTTCAAACCGCGAAAATTCCCGGTTGAGCTTTTGGCAGGTAACGCAACGAAGGGTCGTCGATTTAATCTTCAGTCGTCCCTCGCTAAAGTCAGAATATGTCAGAAACAGGAGAGCCAGAATGAGACTGATCGAGTCCGGATCGACATCGATCCTAGAGATCCCGGTGGCAGCTCGATCAATGAGCGGCTGAATATGCTCTTTCCAGATCTCTTTATCTCCGCGATCTTGGATGGCATCAAAGATCTTTGACTGTCGCAGAGGTGACCAGCTCCAGAGAGCGGCAAGCACAAGGCGTTCACCGTCCCTGTGCTTTGCCCAAAACTCCGTTCCAAGTTTACCGATGGTATCAACATCAGCAAGAGGAGGAAGATTGGCAAGCTGGTCCACGTCGGCTGGCGAGGAGAGAATTTCGATGGGTTCCGCTGGGATTGTATGAATTAAGCGCTGAGGAGTTGTTGGTTCAACCTTGCTTACCACCTCCGCCTCGTCATTAACCGCAGGAAGTTGGGCAGGGGTATCTGCTTCCTCTTCGGGTGCTTGGTTCGTTTGCCTCTCTTCTGTGGTTGGGTTCGTGAGGGGGTCAGGCGTACTAGGTCGGGTAGATGGATTAGTGTCCTTTGGGTCAATGTCCATATGATCCACTGGTGAAATATCATCCTCGATAAACTGGTCCTCTCCCTCAGAGTCACTCGTTAGAAGTTCTTCATCGCTCGCGAGAGTCTCTCTTTTTTTCTTGGGCTCTGGCTTCAGCCTGGGAAGCGTTGAAGGTTTGGGTGGCTCATGAGGGTTTTTGAGCAGCTCAATGAGCCAGGTCTGGTATTTCCTGTCGTAAACACTCTCTTCCAAAAACCCTGCAGCGTTGACCTTGAACTTGTCTTCCTTAAACCATTTCTGACCAAGAAGCTCTTCCTTGATTTTTCGAAGTCGGACTTCGAGGCTTCTGAGCTGGTTTTTGGCGAAGGTGATGTGAATTTCACGGGTACGGTTTCGCCGGGCATCCTGCCATATCTTCCAGGCCCTTCGTTCGAGTTTAGGCTTCTTGACTTTCTCCCAACTGACTTCCAGTCTCTCGATGGCACCCTGTACTGCGTTCTTGACCTCATCTTTGCCGAGCTTGTGGGACTTCTTGCTGCTCTCACGAGCTGCCCTTTCTTTCTCCTCCTCTTCATACTCGCGGTATGTTTCTGAATCTACCGACATGCCGTCATCGTCCTCTCCAAAGTCCAAGAGGACCTCCTCTTCCTCATTCACAGATGGGCTACGTTTGCGAAAGAATTTTCGCATTACCCGAGCCACTTGTAGGGCGCGCGCTGGTGGCACCGCAGCAGTTCTGACCCAGTTGAACTCCTCACTGACCTTTCTGTCGTCGCCATCTTCATCATCATCATCGAACTCAGAGTTGTACGGGAGGCCTGTGATGTCCTCAGAGCGCAGGGCCAAAGACCCGAGATAACTGAACTTTGAATCCTCGGCGTCCAGAAACCGATCGAAGTTGGCATCGGAAGGGAAGGTGCTCGTTGGAAGGGTAACCGAACGGAAGGATTCTCCAGTCTGAGAGGATGGAATGTCGAGCAAAGGGTCGTAGAACATGTCACCTTCTGTAGGGATAAAAGTCCTGGCTTGAGCTGGGACAGCTGCCGATACAATGGTAGGAGCAATCCTCCTCCTTTTAAGAGGGCGCTCTGGGTCCCTCGAGGGCTCATCGGAATCTTGTCGAGCGCCACTGTCCAAAACGCGCTTCTCTGGTGATTCTGGTGGCTGGTCAGGAATACCGGACATCTGAACATCCTGCGCTTGCTCTATGGGGGCGACATGCTGGCTTATGACACCTTCCATCGGCGTCGGCGCCACGGCAGGAGGATCTGTCCCAATAGGAGCCGTCTCGGAAACGGGATCACTGACCAGCCCAGCAGGTGGCTCGGGAGTGGCGTCATTGAGCACAGCAGGACTCACCTCCGCAGCCGTGCGGTCGACTTCTGCAGGAGTTTCCTCCGTAACTGCATTTCCAGTTGTAGCAGGGCTCGCCTCCGTAACTGCGCCGTCGACTTCAACAGGATTTGGCTCAAAGACATGACCGTCGATCGCGGCGGGGCTCGGCTCTGGGATAGACCTATCAATGGGAGGAGGTGTCGGCTCAGATCGGTTCAGAGGATCCGGCTTGATGGCCGGAGTCGCACTAGGCGGACATCTCGGAAGGTCGCTTTCCCTCTTTTGTCGATAATATTTTGCACTTCTCTCCCTGAAGTGCTTGATGGCTTTCCCTATGGATAGATGGTGGGCAAGCTTTTTGATACCTAGCGTTTCCCAGAACGTAGGCCAACTGTATTCATCTGCGTACGTAAGGAGGGTCTCTCCATCGATCCCGAGGTCCCGCAGCTGAAATGCAAGGCGTTCCGGGTCGGGTAGCTTATGCGGAGCAGGCGCATCCCATGTACGATCCGGGGTGCATAGCTCTTTGACCACCCGGTCAACATCCCAATCGAAGGGTTCGTTATCGTTAAGCTCGGCCATTGTGTAGGCGTAAACGGGTTTCTGACGCTGCAAGAGGCGGTCATTAGTATGGTATCAAGAATGCGTAGACAATCGAAAAGAAAAGCATTACAGATGTGGAGAGAATCTGTGTTGGATCAAGGACCTATTGCTCACACTTGTCCTTTGACGGCCGGATTGTTCTGCCACTTGAGGGAAAGCTGAAAGAATGGCAATTTAGTGTCGGCAATAAGGTCGGCTCATGGCGATTTTGATGGTGGTCCTGCTTTTGGCGTTTAGTAACTCGATTCCGTCTCTCGAGAGCGCGTATGGAGGGATGTCCCGAGTGTCTGCTCGAGGCGCAAGAACAAGTCGACAACTTCAGCGAGAGGGGTAAAATATTGATGGGGGTTGATGACGGAGAAAGAAACGGAGAGGATATATATCTAAATATATCGCGGGAATGTGGAAACCAATGAACACATGAGCAGTGAATGGCAAACTGAGATCCAAGCGCCAAATCGCACTCGAGGACCAGATGTGTGAACATATATCAGAAAGAAACAAGGTGGGGGGAGGGGCGTAGTTGGATGAGACAGAAATCCAAACGGGCGTCATATGGGCCAGGAGGCAGATCTGGCCTTGACCATGACAATGGGAGCCGTGAATGATCCGTGAACAAAGGCGATGTGTGAGATGAGGCTCAGATTGGGATTGAAGGTGAAATTGTGAGGCGCAGTCCACGGTAGCAGTTGCTACTCGACACCTGCTCCACTCGGTGTCGCGATCAACGGGAACAACTGAAGGTGAAAGCGAATCGGGTGAACGTGCGAAGGTTAGGTTTCCTTGAACCTAAACAATCCAAGGCCAATTGATATGACCGCGATGAAAACGGTAGAAACTTACTCGTTGATGGTGAGAGCATCTGCCGATAATCCTCGTCTTACACAGCAGATGCCTCGTCTTGAAGCAGCTTGCGCGCGGCTGATGGCATCGATGGCCAGGTGCGTAAAACAAGAATGAGGTTGAGGTGATGTCTGGATAAAGTCTGGTCAACGGGTCTTGCCAGACGGGACGGGACGGCGGGGAATCTTGGTACTGTAGTCGGGGGCGGCCATCGTTGCTGGGGTTCCAGGCACGAGGAACGCGAAGTCACGTTATCCGTGGGGATTACGCTGGCTGCACAATGTCGATATTTTGTAATCCATTCGTCGTAATATACGGCAACGCAATGTTAATTACACCCTGCACAACGTTTGGCCATCCGGACAGACTAATAAGATGAACTCACTCTTCGTCTTACTGTCTCACTTTCCAAGGTCAAAGGGGGGTTAAAGGAGAATATGTCACTCTTCCAAGAGTCGGGTGCCCACATCCCAGATCTGATGTACTATGTAGAGGTATTGAAGCAAGCAAGCAAAGACAGGAACATTGTAGCCGTGCGTTGCTGATGCCCAGGCCGAATTAGGTGTAACAGGACGTAAGAAGTTTGTGTAGGATCTGGTAAGATACTTGTAAGTTACGTTTCATCCTGCAAACTTCCAGCTGCACCCTGCCCAACTGGCCAGCAAAGGTCCAGACCGCTGCTGTAATTCTTTGCATAGTAGAGTATTGGGGGCAGGTACGTTTGTAGCAACTATGCCACGTCAAGAAAAGATGGAAGCTTACAAATTCAAACAACGAAGAATCGAAGACTTGCGTGATATTGTGTATTCAAGACATGATCAAATACGTTCCGTCTCAAAAGACCACATTCAAACGACCAAACCAAAAGTAAAAGTACACACAACTTTGCGCATGTTCCTGCGTTTTCTAGGCACCGAACCCGCAGTTCCGTGACAGTGGATAGTGACAGCGCCCCACTATATACTTCTCTTAAGGTACAACTATTTGGGATTCGTTTTAGCGTCAGTCTCAACTTGCGCAGACGGCTTCATCCATCATCCCATCTTTTCCGCGGCACCGTTTACATCATCTCAGTCGGTGTAGCTCACAGACGAGTAAGTTTTAGCATTTTATCCCGTTGTATCGAAAGGCACTTGGAAAATATGGATCATGGTTTTGTGTGAACAAACCCTAACACCATACAAATGACTTTTTGGAAAGTCCGTTGTCAATGACCACATCCAAAAATGATGCCATTCACACTAGTCTCTTCACTCATCAATGACGGCTCAATTTCTCATACAGAACACTCCAATTAATAACCGTCACCACAGATCAATAAAAGTACAAGCCAAAATGTCTTCCATTACTCAGGGTTCATACCCTCCCGTTCTCCAAGATGCCGAAAGGGAAAGACTTGTGCAAGTCGTCAAGGACTGGACTGTAGCCCACGGCCTCACTGTTCGCCCACCACCTGCCATCGCCGGTAACGACGCCGAAGGCATCCTCGCCACGAGTGCCCCCGTTACTTTGTTCCCCAGCCCCTTCCCCAGGAGCTGCTTCGAGGAGGCAAAGGCTATTCAGACGACATACAACGAGCTGTATGCTCTTATCAGTCAGGATGAGGAATTCCTCACCGAGATGGTTAAGGAGTATGTCTGGTGGTCTCATCGACAGTAGAGGCTCATTTCCACTTTCACTAACAAGACTTAAGGGTTGCTGGCGGCGATGAGTTTATAGCCAACTTATGGAACGTCCACCTCCGTGTGAAGAAGGAGGGCTATGTGCAAGTAAGTAATTACAACATCATCATAATCCTGGATAAAACAACATACTCACCAATCAATGTCGATAGAACCTCGCCCTAGGCCTCTTCCGCTCCGACTACATGGTCCACCAAGACGAGTCCTCCCTGCAAATCAAGCAAGTCGAATTCAACACCATCGCCTCCTCCTTCGGCGGCCTGTCCACCCAGACCTCCCTCCTGCACAAACACCTCGCCCAGCACGAGTACCCTCTCCTCTCCTCTTCGGCCTCCACCGCCGCCGCAAACCTTGACCTCCCCTCCAACGACTCCGCCGCCGGTCTCGCCGCCGGTCTCCGCGCCGCCTTCGACGCCTACGGCCCTTCCACTCTCGGCCACCCGACATGCGTCCTCTTCCTCACCCAGACCGGCGAGCGCAACGTCTTTGACCAGCGCCACCTCGAATACGCCCTTTCCTCTTCTGGTTCAGTGCCCGTCTTCCGCCTCCCCTTCTCCGAAATCCTCACCCACACCACCATCGCCCCCGGCTCCTCCCAGCGCCAACTCCTCTACACCCTCCCCAGCAACCCCTCCCTAGTCTTCGAGGTAGCAGTCGTCTACCTCCGCGCCGGCTACGGCCCCGGCGACTACCCTTCGCAAGAAGCCTGGGAAGCGCGCTACCAAATCGAGCGGTCCAACGCCGTCTGCTGTCCCACGGTACTTACCCAGCTGGCGGGGATGAAGAAGGTGCAGCAAGTTCTCGCTACTCCCGAAGAGTCGAATACCAACTCCGTCCCTTCGGCTCTCGCCAAGTTCATGTCCCCCACTTCCGAAAAGACGCAGCGCTTGCTCAAGACATTCACCAACATTTACCCCCTCGACACTTCTTTGTCTGGCCTGCACGCCCGACAACTCGCCACCTCCCCCGAGGACTGCCAAAAGTACGTGATGAAGCCCCAGCGCGAAGGCGGCGGCAACAACTTTTATCGGTCCACGATCCCGGAGCAGTTGCAAAAGATTCCGGAGGAACACTGGAACAGTTTCATCCTCATGGAGATCATCGAGCCGCCTGCGCTTGCGAACAGTATCTTGCGGAATGGCGCAGTTGAACAGGGCGGTGTCATTTGCGAGTTGGGTGTTTATGGCACTTGTTTGTGGGATCAGGCGAGTAGGGAGGTCAAGTTCAATGAGGAGGCGGGGTACCTGTTGAGGACGAAGGGGGATAAGAGTGAGGAGGGAGGAGTGGCGGCGGGGTATGGGTGTATGGATAGTGTGACGCTTGTTTGAGTGGTGAAGGGACGGTGTGTCTTGGATAGATGATGGTGTATATAGGGATGGATGGCTAGAGGAGAAACTGTGCATGTCATCATGCGCGTATATAGATGTAGACATCCCCAACGAACTGTGCCTGTACTCAAAGATATTCACCAAGGTTGATTATACCTTCAAGATCATGACGATCCTGCCTCGCTCCTCGTCTGCTCATTATCGCTTTCATCCTCATACCTTCTATACTCGCTCCTCATCAATACCGCCCTACCTCCTCCCCGGCACCTGCTCCGGCCACCCCCCAACAGCATCCTCCACCTCCTCCAGAAAACTCTGCGCATTGTGCACAGTCGTGCCGCCCAACACCACCCTAACGCCCGGTATACTCGCATTGATCTCCGCCACCATCTTGGCCTCCTCGTACGTCGCTCCGCCAATGATAAACACGATGATATCCTGCGGCTTATCCCTCGTCGACCCGCCGCCGTCCACATACGGATACTGCTGCTCCCGCAGCTTGCCCTTGACCAGGTTCTGCAGCGTCGTCTCCAGCAAGGGGGAATGCTGCGTGTACACGTTCTCGACGCCCTTGAGCACCTTGAACCGGTTACCAGCGCCGCCGAAGATCCCCGTAGACTCGAAAATGTCCGCGATACCGCCTACGCCGGAGCCGGAGCCGCCTGTGGTGGCGTGCAGGGAGGAGTGGTAGGCTAGGAGCTTGGCGACGCGGTCGGTGCGGCGGGTGGGAACGCCGCCCGCGGCGGTGAGGAGGTCGACGAGCATGGGGAGTTGGCTTGAGGGCGATTTGGAGTAGCGGAGGGCGTAGAGGGCGACGAGGATTATTTTGTTGTCCGGGGTTACGGTGGGGGATTGGATTAGTCTTTGGATGTTCTGTGAAGTTAGGGGTTAGTTGCAGAAGACAGTAAAAGGATAAAAGGTTGATTTGGCTTTACCTTGAGGTCGGCGGCGTGATTATCATTGCAGGCTAAGCTTTGCTCAACCTCGCTCACTTCGAGTAGGCTCTGGGCTCCGACTCTCCTGCTTAGTTCAGAGACCAAGGTGACGTGCTTGCTGACATTTCCGGAAAGCTTCCTGAATTCGGGGTACTCCTCGATGAACCGCTTCATGTCGGAGATGGACTCAAGATTGGCGTTGTTCTGGGTCTTGGACTGGTACTGTGAAACGTATTCCTTGATGTTGCCGCCTAGGTCGCCGAAGTTGAGGTACATGTTCTTCTGGAAGAAGGGATCTTGGTCCTGTGAGAGGACAATCTCCTTCAGCTCGGCACGGATTTCGGGGATATCACTGAGGTCGACTCGGCCGTTGTGAATGCCAAGCAGGTGATGTACCATGGCTTGGTATGTCCATTGTGTGAGTAGTGGAGTAATGGGGTCCTCTCGTCTGTCTAGGATCAAGAGAATGGGTGGTGTGTCGACCTTGCGGAAGTCGAATAGTTGGTCCTCCTGGGTCATGCAGTATCGGACCTCGGATGCGAGCTTCTTAGCTAGAGGGCTGCTCTTCTGGTATCTGATCAGAGGCTTCTTCTTGAGGGATAACAAGACTGCAATAACCCCTTCGGTGCATCGTTGCAAAGAATCGGTGTTCCAGATATCGGGATTGCCGCTCCATATCCGATTCATAGGCAGGGACATGTTGAGTGAGAAAAAGTCGGTGTTGATAACGACATAATCCATAAAGTATTCCTGCACCACTTTCACGACCTCATGGTCATCGGCTTCCGCTAGCCTTTCAAGAGCCGACTTTTTGACAACGTTGCTGAAGTACAAGTGGTACTCTCCGTACTTGGGGTCTCGTAACTCATCGATCAAGAGGCCGATGGTGTCAGGATGCGGCCTCACGAAACAGAGACAGCGCATATGCCTCATCTTCTCCCGTTTAGGATTGTCCAACCGATCGGTAAGATAGACTTCATGGTTGAGAAGGGTTGATACGGTAACGGCGGCTGAGATACAGGGAACGGTGTCCTTGTCCAGCAAGAGCATCTTCATCTTGGCCGATGGCGCAGCGGCAGTCCCGGCGTTTTCACCGACCGTCACCATCTTGGTCACATAACCGGATGCTGCCTGTATCAAATCCATCTTGGGCGATTAAGTGTTGTGATTCTGGGCTTTGATTCCGACGGGTTTCGAATTATTAGGCGTCACGTCCTGCGCAATCACAAAGCCTCTCGTGCTTCCGGACTCCTGAGCCCGCCAATGGTGTCTGGGGCTCGACCGTATACAAGCAACGACGACACCAATTATCGGCCAAGTTAGACCCGAATTGTTTTCCACTTTGAGCCTAGACGAGAAGAGTATGTCGAAGAGTTATTAAAAGTTAAAAGATAGGATGGAGTTCGGTTGAGGCTTTGATGTTTTAATGACGGGAAGCTTTAAGGTGAGCTGTTGTTAAACTCAGGGTTGATGGAGGGGGGTAAGTTGATGAGAGGAGGGTTGCATGTGCAAGTCGCGGGACAAGGGTTCCTAGAGGTTGCGGCTGCAGTGCATCTTGCACAGCTAACCCTGGCCCGTGCGACGTCACCAAAGGTGTCGATAAGATAAGGACCGCCAAATGATGGAACCTTGCTGGTTTCTTTTTGGAGATGCAGACTGCCAGACGCAAGTCAAAGCAGCTTGCCCGAACATCGAACTGCGGGCAGATGCTTTCTTTGCCTCGATAACCCCTAAGAAAATGGCCGACATTTGCCCAGCAAGGTCGGAGCCTACGTGAGTCCAAATCGTCCACAATCACCACCACGCCGGGCCCAACTCTCAAAGCCAACTAACTGACGAACAACCCGCGTCTAACAGCCTGTCGTTCACACAGGGTCTCATCCTCGGCCAGCTATCGGTGGTGCTCTTGCTCGCCGCCTTCATCAAGTTCTTCATCTTTGGAGACCCTCCCTCGCCCGAAGTCGTTGCCTCGATCCGCGCTACCGACCGAAGATCGCGAACGTTGGCACACAAGAAATCGATCCTCAGCCTACGAGAAACCAATGCGCTCCAGCTCGTGCAGAACCCAGCTCTAAACAAGAAACATGTTCTGCGTCCTGGTCCTCCCACCTTGACGATCGGGTCCATCCTCAGCAAAACATACTACAAGGTCGACAGCCATCAGCCAGAAAGTCTCGACTGGTTCAACGTGCTGATCGCCCAAACCATCGCCCAATTCCGCAGCGACGCCCAACACGACGATGCGATCCTCTCCTCCTTGAGCAAGGCGCTCAACGGTACTGCCCGACCCGACTTCCTCGACGAGATCAAAGTAACAGAACTTAGCCTGGGTGAAGACTTCCCCATCTTTAGCAACTGCCGCATCATCCCAGTGGACGAAGATGGTCTCAGCTTCGGAACCGGCAAAGCCTTCGACGCCAATATGGCCACGAGAGAAGGCGCACGTCTCCAAGCCAGAATGGACGTTGACCTTAGTGATATGATCACTCTGGCGGTAGAGACAAAGTTGCTGCTCAACTATCCCAAGAGACTCAGCGCTGTTCTCCCTGTGGCCCTGGCTGTTTCGGTTGTTAGGTTCAGCGGCACACTCTCCATCTCGTTCATCCCCAGCAACCCGTCCAACAACGAGCCCGCCAAGATGATCTTTACTTTCCTCGACGATTATCGTCTCGACTTTTCCATCCGCAGTCTCTTGGGCAGTCGATCACGGCTGCAGGATGTCCCCAAGATAGCACAGCTTGTCGAATCACGTCTCCATCGGTGGTTTGATGAGCGCTGTGTGGAGCCAAGGTTCCAGGAGATTGCTCTACCTAACATGTGGCCTCGCAAGAAGAATACCCGTGGCGGCGATGAGACCATCTCGGATGTGGAAAGGTCAATGAACAAGACAAAGGGAGTTGATATCGCTAAAGACGTGAGAGAGGAGGCTCGAAAGGAGATCGAAGCTGAAGCGCATGGGGGAGCCGATAGAGTGCCAGATTCGCTAAGATATAGGCATCGCCCGAGGGCAGAGGAGGAGTTTCCCGGAGCCGGGTCGATGCCTGGTTCTATGCCCGGTTCTATGCCTTGAATGAGCATACCATTCTGAGCTGGTTAAGCGATACGAGACTGAAGAGCCGATATGGTTTCCTGTTGATGAGGCGAATAGACACATACGCCCCGGATCGCCTCGCCGAGACGCCATGGCAACAACCAGCAACGCCGAGAGCGGGAATCTTCGCCACAGATGTTGCTATCATATACTCCCTGGAGGATACAAACTGGAGATTTATAGAATCCAGGAGCTGTGAAAGCAGAACCTCGAGACCGCTGTCACGTTTATGATATTTTGTAGCGGAGGAGTTGCCGCCGCTACACAGCAACTGCTTAGGCGGTTACCACTACAGATTGCAGCTGCCATTCAAGCCGTATGTAGGATTACTAGTGTATCAGTACCACATCAGTCTATTTGGTATAAACATAAAACGACCATCAAACCAATGCCTATAGTGTCTACATGGACCACACCTCCATGCGTACCTCTACGGCCTGCCCCATTGAGCGCAGTCGACCCTAACCCGGTCCCGGGGACAGCTTCAGATTTGGGAGCAGCAACAACCTACGAGGCGGCCCGATAACGGTAGCAGGGCTTCATTGCGTGTCAAAGAACAATACGCCTCCGTTGTACTAATGGTTGACCGCTTTCATCACGACCACGAGACCACAACTGGGTGCCAAACAAGGTGTTTTTTGTATTGTCCAGATGACGGCTGTGAACCCCTGCCCGATTTCACATGGCGGCAGGCTTGTCACAAGAGATATGGAGGGTGGGGTTCGTGCATCACTTTTGCGCTCAACATGCAGTGATGTCACAACAGATTGGTGGGCAGACGTCCCAAACACCGGGAACCTGACTTTGAAGGAATCTTCGGACGAAAGCAAAACCTGCGAAATTAAACGTTAAGAAATCATCTTTAACTGAATTTCGGGATCCCTTCATTCATACTCGATAGCTGATTTCTTCCCTACCTCTGGCTCTTCAGCATAGCCGGTCCTTTGCATATTTGTTAACGTGTACAAGTACATCCGCAACCTAACCGGCGCAAATTGAAAGTCTCCATAAAATTCGCTACTGGACGCACAGTTCATCGTTCCCTGCACGCCATCTTGCAACTTGCAACCTGCAACCTGCAACCCGCCCCGATTCGCATCGACTCGCATTCCGGCGGGCGTGAGAAAGCCGACCTACATTCAACATTATAGCCCTCGAGCGGCGTGCAATGGAGTAGCGCGCAGGCAGAAGCAGAAGCGTCGAATTCTTGCATAATCTCCTGTCCTATCCACCCGCCTACCTACGCGCCGTTTAAACCGTCATACATTTCAACAACATGATACCCTTTATACATACTCGTACGGCCGCATCGCTCTCAGGATGACGACGACTTCGACTTGTCGCTAACACTCAGTTCCTTTGCCAGCCTTTGCCTACGTGGGCGACAAGATTGGAGTCAGCCCAGATGAACGTGAGCAGCTTCCATGTGTCCTTGCAATATGACTTCGACTAATGCTAACCACGCCGTCCCAACAGTCAAGCTCATCTTTTCCTTCTTTTTGTCCTACCCGCTTGCTGGCCTCCTCAAGAGGGTCCCGGATAGCCGCCCTCACCTCAAGAACTTCTTCTGTCTAAGGTGCGTAACTAGACAAAATCAAGCGCCTTCGGACTATATGCGCGCGACAGAAAGAACCGCAGCTAACGTGTTTTCCCTCGCAGCATCGGTGTCTTTTACCTCGTGGGCCTCTTCGACCTATGGGTTGGCCTCCGAACTGTCTTGATCTCCTCCATTGGCACGTACTCGATCGCAAAGTTCCTCCGGGGCTCCCCTTATATGCCATGGATCGGCTTCGTCTTCCTCATGGGCCACATGAGCGTCAACCACATTACGCGCCAACGCCTTAATGCCCCGGAGACGATCGATATTACAGGAGCGCAGATGGTGCTGGTCATGAAGCTCAGCGCTTTCTGCTGGAACGTGGCCGACGGTGTTCTTCCCGATGATCATCTGTCCGACTTCCAGAGGGACAGACGGCTCAAGGAGTTGCCCTCGCTGTTGGACTACTTTGGATATGTTTTCTTCTTCCCCAGTCTCATGATCGGGCCCGCCTTCGACTTCGCCGAGTACCGCCGATGGCTCGACACCACCATGTTCGACGTTCCCAAGACTGTCGATCCTGCCAAGAAGCCTCCTACCAGACGCAAGCGCAAGATTCCCCGCAGCGGCACTCCGGCCATGATCAAGCTGGCTACCGGTTTCTCCTGGCTCATGCTCTTCATCTGGCTGTCTACCTGGTTCTCGCCCGAGTCGCTCCTCGGAGACGGCTTCGTGAGCCACAGCTTCCTCGTCCGTCTTCTCTTCCTGCACATGGTCGGCCTCACGGCGCGCGCCAAGTACTACGGGGTCTGGATGATGACAGAGGGCGCATGCATCCTCAGCGGTTTGGGCTTCAACGGCGTTGACCCTGCCACGGGCAAGGTGTCTTGGGATAGGCTCCAGAACATCCGCCCAGTGAGCATGGAGACGGCGCAAAACACCAAGGCGTACCTCGACAACTGGAACATTAACACCAGCAAGTGGTTGCGCAACTACGTCTACTTCCGCGTCACCCCCCGTGGCAAGAAGCCTGGTTTTAGCGCTACTTTGGCTACATTTACCACCAGTGCTTTCTGGCATGGTTTCTATCCCGGCTACTACATGTCTTTTGTCCTGGCCAGCTTCATCCAGGCTGCCGCGAAAAGTACAAACCCTCCTCCATCTTCCACTCTATCCTTCCATGTTGGAGATCCCTGACTAACTGCTTTGTCCAACAGACATGCGCCGCAACGTCCGCCCCTTCTTCCTCGACCCCAAGACCCAAACCCCTCTTCCCTCCAAGAAGTGGTATGATCTCGCCTCCTGGCTCATCACTCAACTCACCTTCAACTTCGCCGTCTGCCCTTTCCTGGTCCTGGGCTTCCACGAATCCGTCACCGCCTGGTCGCGTGTCTACTTCTACGCCATCATTCACACCGCCGTGGCCCTGGCCTTCTTCTCCAGCCCTGGAAAGAAGTGGCTGCGCAAGGCCTTGGAGAAGAGAAACGCCAAGGCGGGTGTTGTCACCCCTGCTTCTTCTTCTTCTTCTTCTTCTAGTGGACGCAGCCGTGGCCGCAGCAGTGACGAGAAGACGAACAACAGCAACAGCTCCACGCAGAACGATACCGCTCAGGGTGCCATGGGAACGGCAGCTTCGCTTGGCGAGAACTTGAACCAGCAGTCATACAGCAGAGCGGGAAGCACGGATAGCCAGTCAAGGAGTCCGATGTTGGGTATTAGTGGTGACCCGCAGGGCGAGCTGGATGAGGCGCTGGAGGAGTTCAGGAAGGAGATGGACAGCAGAATTGGTGGGGGCGCGTTTAGTGCGACGGGCTTGAGGGATTCGTTGAAGGCAGAGGTTAGGAAGAGGTAGGTAGATTCGATTGAGTAGTAGTAGTAACGCTATATCGTGAGGAGGGAGAGTAAGAGGTGGTGTGGACTACTTCATGGTGGAATTTGGCGAAACATATGTCCTGGGGAGTGATGTGGAGACGACGCTGCGTATGGAGGATTCTGGGGAACAGCCATGAGTGCAAAGGAACGGAGTGCGGTACTTGGCTAGTCAGTGTCTTTCTAGTGTTTGCACTGCATCGCATCGCGTCAGGAGTAAGAAGAAGAAGCCTCTTTTTGTTTACATCTTATTATCTTCCTCTCTATTTTCGGTACAAACCTGTTTCCCGATATTAATGACCGCGGTGACTGAAGTCCACGAACCTAACTAACTGCATGCATTGCGCGCATTTCTCTCTTTCTCCCCTTCTCTTGTCGTGAGTGGGCATTGCTTCTTCTTCTTCTTAAGTCCACTATTGACACTCTAGTTTTCATCCAATAAGAAAGGCAAGATGGCCGAGCGGTCTAAGGCGCCACGTTAAGGTTAACCCTTAATCTCCTCCATAGAGTTCCGTGGTCCGAAAGGGCGTGGGTTCGAATCCCACTCTTGTCATTAACTTTTTCTCTTTTTTCGCATCTGTTCTGGGACTCCTGCATGGTGACTTGATTTTGTCTTCCTTTTTGGGAATAACGTTTGTCTGCTGTTTTGGGGGCCACAGGACTACGAAAGAGGGACTGAAGTTGTTGTGCAAAAACTTGGTTCTTTAAGTTGGTTTGACTTGGGTGTAGGTTCTGGCCATATATAATGTTTTTGCGATACTCCGTGTAAGTTTTTAGGGCCTGACGAGTATGATAATGGTGGTGGACGGGTAAATCTACCCAGTCATGCATCCCTCCAAGTATCCAACCAACTCATAATGTACAGTGTAAACAACAACAACAACAACAAGCAACGTGGGTATCTATCTCTTCTCATCGCGCAAAGCTTTTGCCTACATAATCACATACACCGCCTCCTTGCATCTCCCGTCTCGTCAACTTTTGCCCAGTTTGCCCTCCCTGCCCGTTATGTGAAAGTCGAAAAAAGGTATTCAGAAACTTGCGCAGCAGGAGAAAAAAAAACTCCGCCCCATCGTATGTAAGCCCGTATAGAAAAAGAAAGTGTGAGACAAAAATACCAATGATGGTAGTGTGAGATCTTCGTCATCAAGTTGCGGAAAGGCGTGTCTTCGTCGATCGGGGTTCGAGATATCGATAGATAGAGATGCGTGTTTGACCGAGACAGCATGCGTGCGTTGGTAAAAAAGAGAGAAAAAAAGTGTTGTAGAAACCGTTTCAAGGCGTGCCACAAGATTATCGTCAATAGTATGTGTAATGATGATGATATGTCGTATAATTCGTCAAAGATCTTCCCGCCGACTCCGGAAAATGTGTAGGTTTTCCCAAAATCCGATAAGAAAAGATCGTGTCTATAGTGTATCGAGACAGAGAAAGAAGAAATGGTATAAAGATAAAAAGGGCGAGTGCAGACAGATACTGAACTATATGATAGAAATTCTATCATCTGATTCAGTCCGTCCAGCCTTCTTGGGAGCCGATAATGGCGAGAGCGATGACAGCGCCAATGATGATGAGTCCGACGAAGGACATACCAATGTTGAGTCTTCGCCACCAACGCGCGCTGAGATATCTCGCTTCCTCTACAGGGCTGATGGGGTTGATTGAAGTTCTGAACCCGAGCCTCGACTTTGAGCGGTCAAACGGGTCATCGGTGGTGTGAGCACCCTTTTCGAGCATCTCGCTCTTGGGGTTAGGGGGCAATGGGAGGAAGGCAGCAACCATCCAGGCTAGAAACACATCGCATGATTAGTAAATGGAGATAAAAACAAATAGATCGCCAGTATAGATAACTTACCAAAAGGCATGATGAATCCAACAGCGAAGAGCACGATTTGGATGTTACGCTTGCCAGTGACGCCGCTATCGGCCGACCAGCTCGTAGCGGGAGGATCCCAAGCATCGAAACGGCTGTGGCGTCGGTCTTGTCGAAGGTGTGGGGACCAAATGCTGGAAGTCTTCTCCTTGAGTGTGCGGAAGACATTATAGTCTGCTGGTGCAGGTTGGATATCCATGGAGCCATCCGAGTTGCGTTGGCCTTCTCTCGCGCGTTTGCGGGGGCTGAAAAGCTCCATAGGGAAGCTGTCGGAGTTTGGCGATCCGCTGTGTCCAAAAGCAGAGCCGGGGCGGCTGTCGCCAGCGTCTGACGTGGACGAGGACAATAGACCAGCCCAGCGGTGCTCGCCAGAGCCATAGTAGACCTTTGCCCAAGTAGGAATAGAGTTTGTGAAGCTGTTTGTTCGGGACGGGCGCGAGCGATGGCTGTGGCTGGAATGAAGATTACGGCTCCCACTCGAAGTGCTGCTGCTATGTTGGAGAAACGAGGACAAGCCTGATCTTGAGGGGTGAGAGTTCAGGTCTGCAATACCATCACCGTGCTCATCTTGATCACGAACCATGCGAATCGGCATGGAACCACCACGAGAATGGGCAGCCTGGGGCCTGGCGATGGTGTCACTTCCCGCACTATCAAGAGGAGCCCCGAGAGACGACGAAATACTCTGCATCTGACGACTGTGCGTAGAACCACCCCATCCGCCAGTGCTGTTGCGGTAACGGTGCTGGCTGCCCAAGACCGAGTGAGACCCAGGGCGTGAAGAGCATGGTTCACTGCCGTATTCGTCTTCGGACATAACCGTAGACAACTGCGAGCTCCATCGATCTGGTGGTGGCTGGGTCATCGGTGGTGTGCGGTGGATGATGACAGTTTCTTGACCGGAGGAGGAGCCGGTCGATGACCCGGATGGGGACGGTACCGACCATGAAGGTTGCTCCCGGGAGGACGACGGGAAGCGGAAAAGGACCGGAGGCGTAAGTAGGGCCGGAAGAGGCGGTACTGGTGGGGCCCCGGTCGAGGAAACGCTTTGAAAGGAGGTGGAGCGGGCTCGAAGGTTCTCACGCGATCGCTGCTTGTAGTATCCAAACTTTTCCGAGGACCTCTTCTTAGCAGGCCTGAGCGGTGGGACGCGGAGACTTTCTTGTGAATATCGACCACCGGTGGCTACAGAAGACGGTGTCGAGCGGGAGTGTACAACAAAGTTCTCGTTGCTCTCAGAGCTTCCGGGAGGGCTAGCAGAAAGTGGCGCAGGCGGTGATGACGCACCGATAACTTGCCAGTTGGCAGGGCCCGACGGAACGCGGGAAGTGCCAGATGGAAGACGGGAAGTACCCGATGGAAGGCGGGATGTCTCACTTTGCGCTTCCCAAATCGACCGGACGGAAGGCGATGCAGCGACTGGCGATTCCCCAACAACTCTCCAGTTTGATTGAGCGATGGAAGAGGCACCTGGCGATACGGGCGAAGAGTGACCTAGAACTTCCCAGTTGCCGTGGGTGGAAGATGGAGCCCGTGATGAGGCACCTGGGCTGCCTAGAACTTCCCAGTTTGTCGCTTCCGTCTGAGGAGAGATAGGTAGGCTGTCGGAGGATTCGGGTACTGAGGTGTGAAGAGCGTAGACCTTGTAGTTGGTCTTGTCAGACGCGATAGTAAGACCAGAGACGCCAGAGATACCCGATGTAAAGGAAGGCTTTGGCGCGATAACCCTAGAGGCAGTCGGGGTCGAGTTGTTTTCGCTCCGCGATTCGTTGGATGCTACCTCTTGTAAAGGAGCAAGGGGCGGGTCGATCGCAGCTGAGTTTTCGTGCGTGAGGTCTGGGTTATGGGGAACTCTGCGCAGACCACCGACCATGCGATAGCCAGAAGAGGTCGAAGCTACGGGCACGGGACCTTGGATTAGGTGGGTGGTGGACGAATCAGGAGATTGGACGAAGGGCCCGGCGAGATCAGATGGAGCAGGTTCTCGGGCGGTAAGTGTGTTACCCGAGAAGGGGGTGCCGACGGTAAAAGGTGTACCGATGCTGTAAGACGTGCTGGTACGGTCGTCACTCCATACGTCGACCGAGGGGCGGAACGAGGGCGTGGCGGTGGAAGAGGAAGGGATGACGGGGATGACGGGGATGACGGGAGCCTTAACGGCTTCGGCAGGGTCCTCCTCGGTGGTGACGATTCTGAAAGTCTTGTCGGGGTTGAGGGCGATGATCTTGCGCTGTCTGGAGAAGGAACGCGGGCGAACTGTGGGTGAAGGCGAGGCTGAATCGCGACGGCCGCGACGAACATCCTGGGTGGGAGTGCTTGATGGAGACTGGGTTGCGGCAGCAGCAGCGTTGAATCTGGCAATGCTTCGTGAAACATCAGACAGCCTCCTACCAGTAGGCAAAGGGGTCGGGCTGGTTGGATCTCGAACAACGGAGATGGTGGAATGGCCAGAGAGTCGCAATCCTGAAACTCCTTCATCCTTGGCCTTTGCCAATGACAGGGTCGACGTCGTAGCCGAGGACAATGCAGAACCCAAGCTGCTGGTGGCCGTCTCGCTGATGGCATAACCCTCGACTGCTACCTCCTTCGAATCGGGACCTTCTGTATGCTGAAGTTCTTCGCGTTCCTCGTCCGAAGTCTCCTCGACCAATGCAATGGTCGGGCGTCCGAGCCGGTCATCGCTGGAATTGCCCGAGCGGCGGCCGTCGGCACTCGAGTTGGAATGGTAGACGGATGACGTCTGGCTGTCTCGGCGATCATCGTCGTCGGCAAGTCGGGGCGGGGTGTAGGGGACGACGCGGATGCCGGTAGTGGCGGTGCTGGTGGTGTTTGTTGTGGTCTGCGACTGCGATCGTTGGTGTTGATGGTGCATCGGTGTTGATGGGCCATGCCGGCTGGGTGGCGCCGACATGGCTCTCTCCTGACTTCTAAAACACCCGGTGCTCGAGGCCGGGACCTAGGCAATCCTGTGAATCCACTTTCTACGTCAAAACTTGGGCGATCGGGATAGTTCCATGTGCGATTCATGCGGAATCAGCGTTGTCGACGTTTAGAAGCAGTGGAGTTTGCCGTTGTTGGTGTAGAGCACAAGGTGGATGCAGAACAGAAGAGTTGTATATAAGAGGCGCGATGCTGCTGTTTCCTGTCGAGCAATTGACGAAAATACTTTGATATCGTCGTCGTCGTCGTCGTGATCGGTAATGGTGATGCTGAGGACGGCGGCGGTGAGGCTGTATGTATGTAGTATGGTGGTAATGGTAGCTGTGGGTGGTAATGATGATGATGATGGCGGTGGTGGTGGACAATGGTTGAGGCAATAGTTTAAAACATTAACAGTAAGCCAGATGAGGATAGTAGTGTATCCAAAGAGTGACCGGTAACGTAACCGAGAGAGTGAGTTGGCTTGGTAAAGAATGACAAGAAGGGGAATCCCCTTAAAAGAGAGTGGAAAAAGAATGCAGATGGTATCCCGTCAGACAGCCATGAGGGTGTGAGTTGGTGTTGGTGTGTAGCACCTCCTGCTGGTTATGGTAGGTTGCTTAGATGCCGATGGGGAGGACAGGAGTCCGGTCTTGGGTTGAGACGGAGACAGGTCGGGTCGCTGGCGCCAGAGACCAACAACGTGGTGCAGCAGGTGGGCTAGAGAGGTATACACGCAGGTGGAGGATGGGATGAAAAAAAGAGTGACAGTTGCGACTGAAGTGGGAAAACAACCGAACAAGGACGCAAAATCCAAAATTGAATTCGCGGCAGAGTCGTAGGTAGTGTCCAGGTCGCAGTTAGTTCGTTCTCCCAATTGAAAAGTCTCCTACACTCACACACACACAACTTCTACGAGACCTGAACGGCCCTTTTCGCAACCGATACACTTGGAGAGGACAGAAGGAATCGGGAAAAAAGGGAGTGGAGGGAAGAAAGAATGGAATCAATGGAACGCGAGTGGAAGGGCGGTCCACTCCTGGGTGCTGCCCACTGTCCGGACCTGCCAGGACCTGCCAGGAGCCAGTGATGTAGCGCGGGTTGGCCGGGGTGCCGGTAGCCCGTGAGCCCGTGTGGAGAAACAACGGACCTGACGAGTGGATCCGAGGCTGTTCTTGGGCTGCCATTGGCTGACCGGCCTTGCTAATCGCTAGCAAAAAAAGAAGCTGCCAGTGCGCCGAGAGCGCTGCAGCCCAGCAACCATTGATGCAGCCGTCAGGAGGAGGACGGCGATATTATCAACCAGTGAGCATTCAAACCCCTTTCAACACAGCACGCAGTGAGGAAGGCTCAGCAGATTGTACTATCGAAGCGGCAAAAAGCCAAAAAGCCTCTTTTCTGGTCTGGTAGAAAGCTGCGGTGACAAAGTGCAGAAATGACACCGAAATGTCTGCCAGCTTGTCGAAAGTTTAATTTCGCGTAACGACATGCCCGAGCCTTGATAGGGCAGGCGCCCGCAATAAGCTGCAGGCTACTAACTGGGGTGCTAACATGTCGCCGAGAAGGCACCCTATTGATTCGACTTGTTGAAGTGAGCACTGACCTCATCTCTCTTCTCTGGGGTTGCGACTCTCCGTCCGGGGTGGGATAGGGAATACACTACGGTAATGGCGTTATTCATGTCTCTGCCGTCCTCCCCATACTCACCAACTCAACTCCACGATGGAGTTCGCTTCGTGCTAGTCGATCGCTGAAAAAAGTCAAAAAAGATAAAAGCCTATCAACTCCCGCCCAGGTCTGTCCCACGAGGTACAGAGAGGCACAGACTGACGTTGTCTTGTCGCGAAAGATGGTAAAGGAACGCCCTTGATTCGCCAATGAGAGGTCCAGAGGGGTCCACAACCACGAGCCCACGCGAGGTTCCTCGCCATCCGAAACACAAGCGGCACTGGCGACATTCTCCAAGGCGTTTGCTTTGAGGCTGAAGCAACGACAGATGATCAAGCCAATTGATGGCAGGCACGAATAGCGGAGGGAGCGGTTATGCTGTGGTCCAGAGGGACCTGTCGCTTGCTGAGTTGATGGAGATGCGATATGATGATTGCGAATCAAATTCAAGAGATGCTACGTATGTATATCCTCCAAGACATTGGGAAGCGCGTGGTCTTTGCGGGGGCAACATGCTTGTGAATCAATACCGGGAAGACATTGGGATGGAATGGAAGGTGAGTTCGGTAAATACGGAATGCTACCGGTTTACCGGTATCGATATCAGCGGCCGATATAGATACTAAAGACCCCGAATCCACGGAACGGAGACCCTGAATTCGGAATGGGAGACGGCTGGAATGAGAAGCCATGCGGCGGAGGCTCAAAAGACGTTACAGTACCTACATTACCTGAAAGGAGAATCGCAATGCCCAAACAACAATGCTAAGCTCAGAGACAACCAAATGGTGGGGCGAACCTTGACGCATTCCAGTGTGGGAAGAGCGCAAACCAAAAAGGAGACGAGGTCCCGCAACCTTTCTCTGCTTTCGTCTGAACTATCTTCAGCCCAAGTCCCAAGGCCCAAGGAGATCGGATCGACATTGACACCTCACTACTGCAGGAACAACAGATCTGTCATCCAGTCGCCTCAGGTTGTCTCTTCACCACTCACGACCAATATTTCAACAAATCCTCAAACGCGGCTACTTGTAGAAAAACCTCAGCCCAAAGCCCAAAGCCCGAATCTCGATTTCTTGACAGCGGCTCCCGACATCTCGGCATCTAAAACGAGCCTGTGCATACCTACACTACAAGCATTACCTCCCTCCATCCTTCTCGAACGGAACAAAACCTGCCTGCTGCCGCGCCTGCACTGCTGCTGTACACCACCTTCGGCCTTGCTTTCCGGCGGCTAACGCTTCCGAACTGAAGGTCTGAAAACGTGTCTCGACGACATCATTCTCAGCATCCAACAGCCGCCCCGGCGCGCGTATTCTGTAACAGCGCTTAAGCAGGGCAGGGACGGGGTTACGTGGGGGATTGACGCCAGTACCACCACATCACCACCACTTTGGAACTGGAACCATTTGGGTCTTGTTCTTGTCGTTGTTGTCGGTGTCCCATATTCCGCTTCCCACAGATCTTCAAGCTAACCGAACTGAAGACTACCGCTCGGCGTATCGAATCGAATAACCACGAATAAACGTCTCCTTCTGCGGACTGATCCGACCGATACCACCACTCCGGTCGAGTCGAGTCTATTATTGGCCTCTTCTGACGTATTCAACTTGGAGGCAACTGGGACTTTTTGTTTATTTCGAGTTACGTCAGCCTGGAACTTTGAGTCTCTTCTCAAACAGTAGTTGAGAAAAGGATGGTGGCCTTTTCGGAAATGTTTCACAGGCTTAACCCCTGGTCGAAAGGTATTGTTTACTCAACCCACTCACTCGCTTACCTCTCTCTTTCTCTCACTCACTTTGATACTTGACCACCCAACCACCACACTTGATTATCACAAAGTAAACAAAGCAAAACAAAGCTGACCCAACCAACCAAATAAATACAGACACCAATCCAATCTCCACCACCACCGCCTCCCTCCTCCTCGTTTCCTACGCCCTCTCCTACTTCCTCCCCTTCTACTTCTCCCCGCTCACCCGCCCCTCCCCCACTTTTTCGAGAGACAACCCCTCGGTAATCCGGGCGCGGATCCGCTCCGTCTGCATCTCCTGCTTCTTCTGCTGCCTATCCACCTTCTTCATCCTCCTCTACGTAGCCAACCTCTCCGTGTCGGATGCTCTTCACTACCTGGGTTTCTGGCCCTTAGGCCTGGTCGAGTCGGCGAGGGCGCTGGGCCTGACGGCACTGTTATTCGCCGGCCCGCTCTTTTTGTACCTGGTGGTTGACGACGGATGGAAGGATTGGGCCAAAGGGGAACCGGTGAAGGAGGTTTGGGGTGATATGTTGAGTTGGAGGAACATTGTTGCTGTAAGTTCGCCCCGCTCGCCCTTTTCTTTTCTTTTCTTTTCTGTTTCTTTTTCTTTTGGGTGTCGTCCCAGAAAGACAGGGCAGAAAGAGAAACAAGAACAGTACTAACATCACTTCCCAAAAAACACAGGGTCCCCTAACAGAAGAACTCCTCTTCCGCACCTCCTCCGTCCCCTTATTCCTGCTATCCCCGCTCCCCGTCTCCCGCACCATCTTCTACTCGCCCGTCATCTTCGGCCTCGCGCACGTCCACCACTTCTACGAGTTCCGGCTGCAGAACCCGCGCGTCCCCGTTTTCGCCGCGCTCCTGCGGTCCATCTTCCAGTTCAGCTTCACCACCCTTTTTGGTGCCTACGCGACCTTCATCTTCATCCGCACCGGCAGCCTGCTGGCCGTGTTTGCCGTGCATGCGTTTTGTAACGGCATGGGCTTGCCCAAGGTCTGGGGACGGGTGGAGAGACTGGATGGGAAGGGACCGGACGTCTTGTGGACGGTGGCGTATTATGTTCTGTTGGCGGGAGGCGCGGTTGGGTTTTGGAAGGAGTTGTGGACGTTGACTGAGGGGGGCAATGGGTTGGTGCCTACAAGTGCGTTTGGGAGGTGAGGATTTTTGAGGTGAGATGCTGGTGGGACTCTTTGGTCTTTAAAGGTGAGTGGTCTAGACTGAGCCATGGCGTTTATGTGTAAAGACATGTGTAGAAGAGAATCATGGATTAGGAGCCAAGTACTTAAATGTGCCAATCTACCTTTACTGAAAGGATTCTTCCTATGGCAGGGCTGGAAGACGAGGGAAAAAATCAGCATGACAGAACCAGTCAACTAGCGAAAAGCGCCCTCGATGTTAGGTGTCTTCATATCGGTAGAAGTGGAATGAATTTCTTATTGCGGAGTGTATCGATCTCTTTGTTCACTAAGTTTTTAGCTTGAGTCTTTAGGATTCTTGTTGTTATCACAGAATCACCCAAACAAGTATCTCATTGCCAATATTCTCCATCAACTCATTAAATGTACGTATTTAGTACCGCTACTTGGTATGGCAAGTCTCTTTTAGGTAACCAAACATAAGAGATACCCTTGACCGAAGCAGGTAGGTAGAGATGGTGCACATATACCCCTTCTCTGTTCATCTGTCATTTCCCGAAGATTCATCAAGCCACCACCTGTATCCCTCTTTTCATGGTCCCTTTTCTTCATTTTAGTCAACCCGATCCGATCCCTCCGCCGTCGCCGCCTTCTGACCCGAGTGAGTTGCTACCGATTCGATCCAGCAGAAAACCAACGCCATAACAATCATGCGCTAATAGAGAGACACACACACATATGCTGCTGTGTTTCCATGGACCAGGACAACCCAAACCACCTTTCACACCCTATAAGAGAAAAAGAAACGAAAGTCAAATTCAATTCATCTTTTGTCCACCTGCGTGCTTGTTTGCGACTTTCTGAATACCTTGGTTATATTTCCCTGTACAAATACTTATAGAAAGCAAGAGAAGGAAGAGACAAGATAAAAAAAAGGTCTATGATGCGAAAATAGATCAGTGTACTAGAAGGATTTCAACAGGGGTTTTATAAGTATTGTACAGGGAAACAAAACCAGAAATGGGAAAGACGGGCAAAAAGTTAGACAAAAGTTATTTGCCCTCTCTGCAACGAAGCCTGTTTCTTCTGTCCAGCGCCTGGGAAAGGCGGGAAGGCGGGGAGGCGGGAAGGAGAAGCCGGGCCGAGCAGACAGACAGCATCAGTGCTGCATCCACGCAAAACCCGGGCTTGAATAGCCTGTCAGATTCCCCGCCACGAGGCTGCAACACACTTCGCTTAGCATCACCTTTACCCCATCGCTGCACCGGTTCGTAAAATTAAGCATTAGCCGCATCCCTGTTGCTGGCCGCGCTAGCGCTCATGGTAGGCTGAGCGGTAGGCAGAATCGCGGAGACCTTTTGGCGGGTCTTGGACCAGGCGAAAACGAGACCGGAGACAAAGCCGACAAAGATGGCGGTGACACTTCCAAAGGTGACGGGGGCGTCGAAGAAGATGAGACCGCTGACGGCGATGGGAAGCTTGTTGAGGGCGCCAACCATGGAGTAGGTGGTCGAGGAGGTGACGCGAATACACCAGGCCGAGCAGTACGAGATGAAGATGGCAGCGAGACCGGAGTAGATCATGCCGATGAAGAGGGCGTTGCGTGTCTCGACGGGGAAGTTCTTGATCAAGTTGTCGTTGGACCAGTCCTCGAAGAGCAAGGAGAAGACGATTAGGACGGGAATAGTGAGGAGGTTGTTATAGAACATGGCTAAAGCGCGAGATTCGGTTAGCCATGTACTTTTTCACCAAACGAACAACCCAGCCAGGGCCACTTACTGTCATAGTCCTTGAAGTTCATCTTCTTGATAACCTTGCGCATGCCCAAAACGTACGCGGCGGTGCAGAACACGTTCATGCCCATCCACGCGTAACCGGCGTTCAGGGTGGAGATAGCATCGGTAGCCTCGGCAGTGTGACCGACGCCCTCGACGGCGGCCTGGATATCGGCCCAAGCAGCAATGACGGAACTGAAGACCATCAAACCGAAGGAGAGCAGAGCCATGGGGGTGACGCTGCCGCCGAACCAGAGGACCTCACCGTAGGCGATGACAATGATGGTCAGGTTCTTGAAGATGGTGTACACGGGAACGGAGAGGAACTGGAGCGCCTTGGTGCTGGTATAGATCATGCCCACGAGCAACAGCGAGATAGGGAACCCTGTTGCAGCCCTATGTCAGCCAGCCGCTCCAAACTTTTACAAAGCTGAAACAAGAGGGGAAGGGAATGCTTACATTTCTTTGCCTTGGTTGAGTCGAAAGCAGCGAGGTTCTGGAACATGCCCAGCTGCTTGCATATCAGAATGGCGGCGGTACAGACCAGAGACTGTCATCATGGAGGTACTGTTAGCGTTCTCTGCTCTCTCTCTCTCTCTCCTTCTCGTCCTGCGGCTGGAGCCTTGGGCGTGGGGTATTTTGTTCGAACGGCTGACGTACCTGCACAGCAAGGTAGAAGAAGTTGAGGTTCCATTCGCTGCCGGACACAACGTATTTGTTGACAACCGTCATGGAAATCGACGACAGACAGTAGGCGAGAATCGAGGCGCCGGGGCTGTGGTCAATCTTGTCGAAGTAGCCGCCGAAAGGACCAACTTGTTGAGGGCGGGTTGGCTGCGAAGATGACCTCCTGGCCAGGAAAGGGTCCTTGTCGGTCGAACCCCGACCCTCGACGGGGCCCAACTCAATGTCTTCGTTCCTCTTGTTGGCCATGGTGTGCTACTGAAATACGTCGATGTGGTGAGAAAACGACAGGCGGGTGCTTCGGTAGGTAAAGGGAAAAGTTGCAAGTTGCGAAATGGCAGCGACGGTCGAAAAGACGGGTCGGGTGGGATGCGCGCGGGCTGACCGCCTTGGAACGAGCGAAGCGAAAGACCAGCAAGGTACCGACCGTATTAGTCGGGGCGCTAGTCGTAAAAGCCGTGCAGTGGAAAAGAATGAAGGTAGATGCAGCCGTTCACGCTGATAGCATTCCAGAACCGAAAACGGAGTTCACGAAGCCTTGCTGGTTGCCAAGAGCAAGAGCAAGCGAGAGAAAGTGATGAAAATGCGACAAGACTTGAACACTTCTTCTACGAGCACCGAGCGCCAGCGACCTCAGACGCGTGTCAGAAAAAGGGTTTGGAAGATTTCCTGTTAAGTTAAATTGCCAGATGCGAAACCCGCCTATTTCCCAATCAGGCTTGGCGCCTTGACACTCCAGTGGCCCGCGCTCCCCCACACAACCCCCTTTTCCTCAGCTGCCTCGAGTCCTCGACTTCCCTAAGCGGACACTGTCCCGCAACTGTCACTGTGCCCCTTGTCACCTGCCAAGCCGTGAACCGTACCCCTTTAGCCCACAGCATCCTTGACCAATCAGCTTTGACCGGCTGCCATCAGCTTAATCGATGAAGCTATTCCAGTGACGTCGGTCGGAAAGGTATGTGTTCAGAATGAATGGTGTATATCAAAAACGCTACTACTATTTACTACCAAAATGGTGACGGGCATGCTCCAAGACCAGCACAATAAAGCTGCCCGCCACCCTTTCAATACGACTATAGACATGAAGCGAACCGTGCAAAGCCAACCTTCCACCTCCTTCAACTCTCTTCCTCCCCGTCCATCTCGTCGTCCCCTTCTGCTTCCCCGCTCATCTCCTTCATTGCTTTGTCCCAATTCCTTCTTCCTACTGTTCCGTTTCTTTTCACTCGTCCATTTTTGTTTTCGTCTTCTCATAATGCATTGGCTAAATTCATATACCGCGTCCGCTCTGCGCCTGGACAACTTCATGAACCCTTCTTCCGCCGATACCCTACCCTCGTTCTGTACCAACTCGTTGCATGATCGTACCGTCTGCGAATCGCAGAAGGGGGGGGGGGGGGGTCATCTCTCTCACTCATAAACTCATTCGAAGCCAAAACCGCAATCAAAAAAATGACAAGCCGAACAAAGGAACAACCAAACCGAATCAACAATAAAACATCAGAAGGTTAACATTCCTCATCCCTTACACACGGAGTGAGAGAGAAGAGATGTGAAGTGTTGTACATAGCCCATCTTGTGACACCTACCGAGCTGGAAGGGCCGAGGAGCGGAGATGTGTGGACACTTTAGGTGCCAGGCAGAGGGAGTTGTTTATCTCTGTATATCAAAAACTGATTGTTAGCGACCCATCGGAAATTCAGCGCACTGTCACCCTTCTCCAAAGTTTTGATTATTGACATACCCGTCCACGTCTGGAGTTGTTGTTATTGTTGTTGTTGTTGTTGTTATTGTTGCCCTGCTCTTGCATATATCCTACATTTTGCTGCTGGGGCGGCATGCCAGCTCCGCCCATAGGGGCAGGCCCAGCGCCGTAACCGTAGCCAGGAGTGGGCATGCCCATGTTCATACCGAATCCAGGGGCCGCGCCGTAGGGACCTTGAGGACCACCAGGCGGCATGTTAGGCATCTGGGGTGCACCTGGCGGCGGCTGAATCGGGCTGCCGTTGGACATGGCAGCTTGAGTGCCGCGATACTGGTCGATCGAGGGGCTCGGGGTCTGGAAACCGCCGAACCCGGCGGTCATACCGGCTGGGTAGTAGTTGTTCATGGGCGGTGCGCCCCGTGCCATCATGCTCTGCTGGTACTGCATTTGCTGAAGAGCAGCGGCAGGGGCCATGGGTGCGGCGGCTCCGCCGTACATTTGTCCTTGAGGAACGAAAGCAGGAAACTGCTGCGGAATCTCCAGCCCCTCACTTCTAGGGATGCCGAAAGCCATATCATTATAGTTGGGGGTACCAACATTCAATGGGTTATAGTACTGACCCGGGCCAGGGGTAAACTGACCAGCCTGCTGTTGCTGCGCCTGCTGTGCGGGCTGAGGCTGCTGCTGCTGCTGCTGCTGCTGGTTTTGCTGCTGATGCTGAGGGGTCTGGCGAGATGTAGGACGCTGCCTTTCACCATTGTTGGTGTTGTTGCTGTTATTGTTGGTGTGCTCACGAGCGTTGTTTCCGTTGTTGCTATTGCTTCCGCCACTCCGAGTAGACAAACCAACTTCGTCCATCAAACGCTTATAACCCTGGCCAGGCTGCGCCTTGATGCGAATCAAGACATTCTTCACGTTCTCGACAACCTGAGTCCGAATGGTCTCGTCGAAGAAGGGAGTGGTCAACACCTTGAAGATGAGCGTAGCACCACAGGCGTGGTCGCTGAGGATTGCCTCCAGAACTTGGTCGTTCTGAGTGAAGAACAAAGCCTTAAGAATAGTGTCCCTGGCATCCGCCTCCGCCTTCTGGTTGATGACCTTCAGGACGGTCAGATACGCCACTTTGTGAGTGCACAGATGCACGAGGTAAGGAACGAGCTGCGGCGACAAAACTGTGCGGCGCTGCGGGAACGTGCAGGTATCGAGGAACCAAGTGAGGAGTAGGGCACCGTTGGCGTTAGTGGCAAGCTGTACACTATGAAGGGCAATGGCAGCAGCGAGCATGCGCTGCTGATCCTTGGTAGCGTGATGACTCTCCAGGCATGCCCTCATGGCGCGAGCGCCGTAACGGCCTTGGGAAACCTCCCACATCTTGCTGAGCATGGTCTCAAAAATGAAGTCATTGTAGGGAGGGCCGAACTTCAGGCAACCCTGGAGAACGTAGTTGCCATACTGGTCAAGGAACAAGGGGATCGTATAGGGGCGCAAGTTCTCAACGATGAGGTTCAGCTGCTGGGGCTGCTTGCAGACATCGATGATCTTCTGAGCAGCCCAAGTACCGTTCTTGTGTACACCGATCTCGGCCATATGAGGTGCAATCTCAGCGAGCATCTGATCGCGAACGGAGTCAGAGCAGTGCTCAAAGAGCTTTTGGACAACAGTGTTGCCAAGATAATCCGACGACAGCTCGGCAATCTCAGGAAGCATCTCGATAGCGATGTTCTCGATCTCCTGCTGGGACAAGGTTTGGTTATCAATCCGTTTGCGAATATCACGGAGCTTGGGAGCGTCGTGAACACGGGTGTGGGCGGGCTCCTTGATGGGGGGAATCTCATCGATGTAGTTATCGAACTGAATGGCGTTCTGGAGATTGGCAGAAATCTTGTACTTGTCCTCCTCGGTCGCGCCAAACTGCTGGACAATGTCAAGGATATCGGCGGTCATCTCAGAGAGAGGTGGCACAGTGGGAGTGGTGTTTACGGCCAAGGGTGTCGGGGAAACATCACCAGATGCGCCAGTGCTGCCGTTTTGACCATTTTCCTGCCCCTTAGCAAACGGATCAGGGCTAGGGGAAGGGAAGGCTCCATCGTGGCCGGGAGTGTTGGACGCGGAAGGCGGCTTGGCGAAGTTGATACGAATGGGGCCAGCACCAGGGAAAATCTCCTTTCCGTTCATGTTAGCCTTGGCGTTGATGGCACTGTCCACTCTTTCAAAGTTGACGAAGCCGCAGTTCTTGTGAGTCAGCACTCTAGCGGAGAGAATGGGACCGTACGACTTGAACATCTCCGTAAGCGTAGAAGTCGTGGTGGACGTAGGAATGCTGCCGAGCCACAAGGCGCTTGTCGGGCCCTCCATGTTGGGTTCCTCGGCGCTGAGCAAGCCATTGTTGTTGCGGCTGTTAGACCTTCCCAGCGTCATAGCAGCGACAGCCTGGGGCAGATCCTCGTACTGTCTCTCCTCCGGCAACTGAATGTCGGCGGCTGTAATAGAAGCGTCAAGCCGGGAGGGAGTGGGAATGTAGTTGCGAAGAATCCTGTTGGCAGGAGTGTCCAGAACACCGGCTGTCCTAGCACGCGGACGGGCAGCTTGGAATGCCTGTACGGCGAGGTTATGCTGTTGGATGGCTGCGTTGGTGGCGGCGAGTTGATCCTGGAGCTGAGCGTATTGGTTCTCCATCATCGTCAACGGATCGTCATCATAGTCATCTTCCTCGTCAGCGTATTTATCCTTGTTGTTGACCGAATAAGAGCGGAATCGGTTCGCGGCCTTGGTAAAATCGACATACGTCGGCATGTACGGGGTGGCGAGCTGAGCGCGAGGAGGCTGCGGTGTCTCTGCCAGGCCAAGGTAGTCCAAAGTCCTCATATGGACATCATTCTCGCCCGCGCCTTCGCGAGAGAAGTGCGACTGGGTGGGGGAGCTGGGGTTGTTGGATGGCACACTTGCAATGCTGGCCAGAGTGTTGCCTCTTTCACGACCGGTAGGCGTCCAGCTGCTGAAGATGGAAACGCCAAATGGCGAGCTTGTGCCGGGTACCTGGGCAAACGGGCTGCGCTGGGGCAAGGAACCAGCTCTCAGCCTGGAAAGAAGGGTCGAAGCTGAGCCCTCGGCCTGTTCAATGCCGGGCGAGGGAGACTTGAATGGCGTATGCGACGGAGAAGGGCGCGAGGTCTTGGAAGCCAAAGACGGGATATTCAGCATGCCATTGACCCCGGCACCGGCAGGGAATCTAGACGGCACGGTGCCGGCACGAGCACGCCGAGTCTGGGGCAAGCTGTCCGGAGTGGGCAGCTGGGCGAAGTCCGGGAAGCCGTCGGTAGGCGACTCCGGGATGTTCTCTCGAAGAGGGGTCGAGTTGCCGCTGGTCGGGGGCCCACCCCATGGGTTTACCGGCAATCCCGAGATGCCTTCTTGGGCTTGGATCTCGCGGGCACTGCGTCACCGGGCGGGGTCAGCGGTGCTCCTCCAAAAACATCAAGGTCACTATTGACTTACCGTTTTGAAAAGAGCCGGCCAGAGGAGGCCATATCGTGTGATGGCGAAC